CCCTGTGTGCTGAGCAGCCTGATGTCCCCTTCTCATACGAGATGATAAGTCGCAGAGAGTGAAGACAACAGGCGCGTCTACAGACAGGAGCATATCTCAGTTGGTAGAGCGCTCACCTATCATGCGCACAGCCCTGGGTTCTAGCCCCACAACTGCGTAAACTGGGCAAGGTGGCCAGTGCCTGTGATCCCATCACTCAGGAGATGGAAGCAGGAAGACGGAAATTCAAAGTCAACCTCACTTACATAAGGAGTTCAAGGCCACGCTGGGCTACATGAGACACTGACTCAAGAAAGGTTCTTTGTAAAAGGAGAAAGACGGTTGTGAGCTTTAAAAAAAAAACAAACCTAGATTTAACTGGATTCCTATTCTTAACCCCTGAGCAACTCTGTGGTCCCAGAGAATTGGTTTTTACAGTGGGTGATAGCTGTCTCTTTAAGTAGGATTCTCACCAGCATTCCCATTTGTGCTGGGATTTAGCATGTTCAAGGTCATTCCAACTGGCATCATGAAAGAGAAAGGATCACGGAGCATTTTTGCTTCACCGAATTTTACTCCACCAAAGAGCTCACCCCTCAGCGACACGAGCTCTGCAGCTAGGCTGACATTTGTGTGTAAGGATGAAACACGTTTCACACATTAAATGTACAAAGTCATGGGACGGTAGAGTGTTACCCCAGAAACACCACACGTAAAAGCTCATTAACCGATGCTTTATCAGCCACACGGAAAGGGAAGGGAGCAGTGTCCACACACAGGCTTTAAGCCTGTGGGAAGCATTCCCAGGGTGCAGGTTATTCTCCACAGCTAGCTGATGAGTGGCTAGTTTGGAATTCCACTCTCCAGAAACAACAAGCTGTGAAGTGTGTGCGGAGCAGGCCACACCCTCTCTTCCCCTCTCACTTAATACTGAAGGCAGCCAGTCTCAAGTGACCCAAACCCCAGTGCCTCACAGCCGACATTCCCGCAGAATCAGGCAAAAGCGCTTTCTGGCTTAGTCCTCCCGTGCTGCGTCAGCCAGGAGTTCCTCTCTCTGACAGGCGGGGTTCTGTAGCGTTCCACGGTGGAGCGTTGTGTATTTTAAACCGGTTCCCTGTGCCAGGTGGTCACACTAGAAGGGCTGTGGGGGTTTCTCTGGAGAAGCATAGAGGTGCTAAGCCCAGCAGTGCTGGAGCAGGAGGAGTGGTGCGACCTCGGGAGCTGCAAAATACCACCTCAACTCAAACTTTATAGAGCTATGGACAGCATTGCTGCCTGGAAGCCAGCCTGAGCGCCAGTCCATCATCTGGTGAGGCAGCCCGTGGCTCAGTGTTTGTCGTCACATTGCTCCCCGCGTGCCCGAAGAACTCCTGAGAACCCCAAACCAAAACCAGCAACAACAAAACCAAACGATCAAGAGGTAGCTGCTCAGCCGAGCCTCAGTTGGCCCAGTCTAACCGGAAGGCTAACCCCTAGGCTCATGAAGACAGGAGAGTTAGAGATCAAGAGTTGCTGATGGCTGAGTCTGAGCACACCGTCCCCACTGCTCAGAGCTGCGGATGGACACTGCTCTCCGAAGCCACTTCCAGGCTTTGAAGAGAGCAGACTGGCCGCAAGCAGCCATGTGTTCTGTGAGGAGGGACAGGGTCGCGCCGCACACCTGCCATCCAGCTGTGACTCCTGGGCTCAAACAGCCCTCTTCACTTCAGATCTGAGGGAACCAGGCCTCCGAGGGCCACAGTTTACTCTTTTCATGTGTGATCGTTTAAACTCATCCTCATTAAATGCATGAGGTATGTATTTTCCAGAGCTTGATTTCTTTAGTGGAAAACTCTGAAGCTACAACTGAATTGTTTTACCATACAACAATTATGCTCAACTCAACTTAACCAACACCGAGCATGCGTTAGACGCCTGTGACTCCCTCGGGAGTGGGAATAGAAGAAAATGTATGTCGTACACATAGTTCCCAGTCATTAAAGGACTAGCAGCTTAGTGGCAGAGATGGAGACCCAACCGTAACTTTCAAACTTATACTTATTTAGTGTGTGTGTGTGTGTGCGCGCGCACGCAGGGGAAGTCAGAGGACAACTTGGGGGAGGTGGTTCCCCAAACTCTGGATCTCATCAGCCTTGGTGGCAAGTGCCTTCACTCCAGTTGGCTCACTGCCTTGCAACAATAATTTCTATAAATGTTGTAGTTAGCGAGTTACCATGATTCAAAGAGGCGAAAACAGTTTATAATTTGTAAGACTTATAAAGAGGAGTGTTGAAGGCTTGGCGTCCGACATGAGTCTTGACAGCCAGGCTGCAGCTTAGCCAAGTGGAAAAGAATGGTAGGCCAAGAGAAATGGACTTGGGAAATGGTGCCTACCGTGCAACCAAGAGGACCAGGGTTCAGATCCCCCACAACCCATGCAAACGCTAGGTGGGATGGTGACTCACCTGTAATTTCAGCCTTGGAAAGCAGAGACAGGGCCTCCCCCAGAGCGAGCTGGCTGCTAGGCTACCCATATCGCCAAGCTCTGGGTTTGATTGAGCATGCCTGTTCTGAGGAAAAGGGTAGAAGCGCAATTGAGAAAATTTTCTGACTTCAACTGCAGATTTCTATATAAACATGTACTGGAACACACATATATGTGAACACACAGAGACATGCCCATATATCATGCACACATACACATAAAAAGAAGAAAAATAAACCAGTGTGCCGTAGGAATGATATTAGATTTCTAGTTCTGTATTGAAAGACCTAAGGCTACCTACAGAAAGGTAGATCTGTCTAACAGTGTAGAACAGCATGGTGCCAACTCCTATGAGGGTACCTCTTGGCGGTGACACATCATGACGAATGGAATCATGGTAAGCAAGCATGCCAGAGGGGGGAAATAACACAGTGATACAGAAAACATAGAGGGCTCGCTCTTTTACAGTGACTCATTATCTTGGAGTTAACAAGGCACCCACTGATCCAAGATCCTCCCCACCAAAGGTTTCACTACCTCACGATGCCATAGCTTTGGGGACCCACCTTCTAAAACGTGAACCTTTGGAGGATAAAGTTAGGGTGAAAGAGTTAACTGACTCCAGTATTTTCCTCTTCCTTTGTACCACTTTCCTCCTCCCATCCTTCTCTTTATCCATTTCAAAAAGTCTAAAGAAATGAAATGCAGCTACACAGAGAACAACTAAGAGATGGAAGCCAAGGGTCAGGCAGCCCTGGTTCAAACCCTAGCCCTGCCATGCCTGCCTTATGATGAGGGTGAGCTCTTTGAGCTCCCCGTGTCCTGGTGTCTTCATTGGGAAGTGAGTTAAATACTGTGACCTCACTGGGAGGTTGTGAGGACGGGACTCACCTACTCTGCGTGTGCACACAGCAGGGCGTCTTCTGCCCCCATGCTTATTGGTTATGTTAGGTTTGCCTGCACACATGAGGTAGGGTAGCCGAAAGGAAAGCAAGGGGTTCCTTACTGCTGCTTCTCCTCCTCTCTCTCCTCCTCCTCCTTTTAAGGAAAAAGAAAAGGGTTGAGTGGATGAGCCTCAAGTGGCACGACAGCCATGGCTGTGGGGACTTGAGGTGATCAGGAAGCAGTTTCTCACAGCAGAACGCTTCTGCAGTGGCTGCCTTCTGAGGGCAGCAGGCTGCAAACGGGAATGGAGCCGTTGGAAATCTCCTGTCATAATCTGAAGTTACTCTGAGGCAAACACCATAATTGCATGTGATAAAAACCAAGTCAGTTGAGCACAATGGCCTTTCAACACAGCGACACTGTTCTCAAGAATCACACACAAGAATGCCTGTAGGAGTGCTTTGCTTTCCTCCCACAGAGACAGCCAACAACAAAAATCCCAACACAAGGCTTCCGTTCTGCTGTGTTAGTAATAGTCAGCTTTTGTTGTTGAAGATAATGTCCATACAAGGAAATGTATGTTATATATAAAAAAATAGTTTGGGTGAGTTTATGTTGGACCATGTACAACCATGTGATGCCAGTATATTCAACACCCAAGACTTCTCCTTCGTGCCCTGCGCTCCACCTCACATTAAATCACTGTCCTGCCGTGCTGGTGAATTTAATTAAGCTCAGGTCATTTGCATTTTTTCTTCAGTAGATGGAATTATTGAGCTTCATCTATGGGTGTATCTACAAGAACAATAATTGCATGTGTGTGTATATATGTGCGTGTGTATGTTTGTGTGACAGAGAGATGGGCAGGAAGAAAGGAAAGAGAGGGAGGGAAAGAGATCATGCAGTTAATTATTCTTTAATGTATACATCTTGTTTCCGTTATCTTTCAGGTATAAAAACCAGGTGCCTATAAATGTCCATGCGAACCCAGGAAAGTACATCATTGAAAGTCGATATGGAATGCACACTCTCGAGATTAACAAGTAAGAGAACATCAGTGTCTGTGTGTGTCACCCAGCAGATACCCAGGGAAGCACCTTATTACTTCAGGTCACTGACAGAAATCTACCTTCTTCCTGGGCCCAGTGCCAGTTTCTCTCACAATGGTTTTGGTGTTCATTTCTTCTCCTGATGCCAACCTGTAAGGTGCCATGAGCACAGTAACTCCTCATATGTCATAAAAGATGGTAAAAGGAATATGCACATTTTTACTTAACCTTCTATATGTATGAGCGTATCTTAGAGAAATTACTAAGAAAATAATTGCTTAAGTAGGCCTTTCTATGTCCATGGATCACCACAGAATTCTGAAGCCACAACACCATGCTCCCTTATTTTTTAACCAACAAAAGGCACAGAGCCTGGGATGGGAGTCACTGAGAACTGAATAGACTGGGAGAATGTCACCAGGAACCATAGGATACTGTGTGCTTTGTCCATCTGTATGGATAGGTCAGGGACAGATATTGGGATGTTTCAAGGTCAAGCTAAATTTGAAACAGAGGCTCTATTAAACTTTCCAAGTCCTGAAAGAGTGTACGGTGTCTCCCCAAGATGGTTTGAAAGGCAGATGGTGCGGATGAAAGCGGTAGACCAGCGCCCACAGTTTCAGGTCAGACAAGCCCTGTGTGGGGAGCTGTGGAAGGGAAACTGACACCGGTCAGCCTCGCTGACGGCCTTCTCCCCAGCAGAAGAGTTGGAGCAATGGGGACTGGGCTTCAAACAGAACCCCGGGTCTCTGATAGTCACCCATCTCTGATCTGCCGTGGTATCGCTTCAGCGTAAACCCCAGTGAGCCTTGTAGTTGCTTTTAAAGTTAAGCAGCTCTGAGGACGGTGATTGTATTTATCTTCCTGGAGTCTGACGCCCTTCAGTTCAGCAAACACAAGTGCTCCACACACAAAACTAAGTTAAACCCTGAGAAACAAGGAGACACATGGGAACCGGTGTGATTAGACACAAAACAGCACTGTGAAATCTCAGCCCGACCTCTGGGAGGGTGTCCTCCCTCGTTCCGTCTTTGCAAGACATTCCTGTTTCTGCACTGTCACTTAAAGGAACACCCAGGTAGGACTTCTGTAAAGCTACGAGCTGGAACTCCACGTGGTGCCCAAGTATCAGGAGAACTGAAGCATGAAGTCGCTTGTGTTTTGAAACCGGAGCACGGAATGGTATAAAAGACCACTCCTGCGCGGGTTTGTGGCCCAGGAAGGCTGTGGGAAGCTATCGTGAGAAGTTGCTTCTGTCCCTTCCCTGTCACCCTGATGCCAGACTGAAAACCTGTCTCCTGAAGCAAGACAGCAAGGAGCACACACAGTCAGGGTCATGACCTGCTGTAAAGCTACCCACAAAGCTCGGCATTTTCCCCTTCAGTTGTGTAAAGCAGTTACTTGCTGCAATTTCTAGCCTTAATACTTTAACTGTTTGCTTGGCATTTTAGATGAGCCAAGGGTAGGGTCACTGGCCGGAGAGATGGCTCAGAAGTTAAGAGCGCTGGCTGCTCTTCCGGAGGTCTTGAGTTCAAGTCTCAGCAACTACATGGTGGCTTACAACCATCTATAATGTGATCTGATGTCCTCTTCTGGCATGCAGGTGTACATACAGCTAGAGCACTCACAAATAAATAAATTTTTTTGGGGAAAAAAAAAGGTTAGAGTCACAGTGGATGATATTCCCTTCCTGCCCCACTACAGTGTAAAAATTAGTAGATAGCTTGGACTGTGTAGTGTCCTACAGGAACAGATACTGCAGCATCAAGAGTCCTAAAGAGCCGCGTGCCAGCCAGGGATTGACAATCTACTCTGTTAGTGAAACGACCTTGACAAAACAGCCAACAACTACACGGAGTCACCACCGTGGTCATTCACCTCCGCCTGTTTCCGCAGGTGTGACTTTGAAGACACGGCTCAGTACCGGGCCTCCGCGATGAATGTTCAAGGAGAGGTCTCCGCCTACGCCTCGGTCGTCGTGAAGAGTAGGTTCACCCTGGCTCTGTTCCAAGTGCATATAAACTGCTTCCCATGCCAAAACAAAGCAAAACAAAACAAAAACTAGCTCAGGCAATCGCAAAGCAGCTCACATGCATTCTCTCTTCTTCCCTAGGATATAAGGGGGACTTGGACGAGACTCACTTCCGTGCTGGGGCTTCCATGCCCCTCAGCTGTAAGTTCCACGGCACACTCACTAAGCGCCACCTTTACGTAGAGTGCAGCCAGTAATGCTCACACTCCAGTCTTCTGCAGCCTTGAGTTTAGGGAAGCAACACGATTTTTAAAATGATGAAACAAATTACAGTGTGTTTGTGCATGCCAGGATGGATATAATACCATTGCCCGGGCATGGTTTGTTTGTTGTTTTAATATTCTTTGGTTACTCTTCCAAGTGTAACTGATTTGTTATTTATGTTTTAAAGGTAGCCTGTTTAAGCTTGTTAAACTGATCATATGCCCACACTGAAAATGACAGTCAAGCCCACACTTATTTTCTATGCATTAAATACGTAATACCTCCTGAAAGTACATAATACCTCCTCCTGTCTCAGTCGTCCACTTAACTGGTTGGTTTACAGTCTGTAGATGATCTAGTCCTTGACTTCATGAATGGTTCCAAACCTCACAGTTAAAACCCCTGGTGTCAGTCCCATGGAGGGGATAAAGAATGAAAGTCATTTTTTCCCATCACATCAATAATTCTGAGACCATGACGTAGCTCCCAGAGTCCCCCACAATTGGCATGATTAATCATTTCCCAGTCCTCTGACCTTACTGTGTTCATTCCCATGGTCAAATTTCTTCTTCTCTTTCAAGCCAGGCTCTGAAAGCCCAGCTCAACTCTGCTTCTTCCAGAACCTGTTCTGATTGGCTTAGTCCCTCTGATCCTAACCGGAAGGGCTGTGGTCATATGGTCAATAGTGTGTGTTGAGTGCTTAGGTGCTTAGAATATGTTGTAAACTTTATAGACAGAGCTTTCTGCTCTTGGTTGTGCTTTAATGGTTGACAAACACTTTTGTCCTAAACACCATACTAAAGGTCCTCAAAGGCTTATAATGTTGGTAAAGTTGTATTTATAGTATGTGATGTGGAGAAACTGTGGGGAGTTTAAACAGTGGGACAAGAGCACACACAATAGAGAGTGGGGTCTTGTAACCTGCTCTTCCTCATTCTCGGTCATGCTTCATTCTGGGGGTCGGCAAATAGTATCTATAACGAAGCAGACTGCGGAGATGTTGGGTTCTGGGGCCATGTAGTCCCTGTCACAACTACCCAGTTCTGCCTCTGGAACACAAACACAAGCAGGAGGCAAATGAACGAGCATGGCGGGATTCCAGTAAAACCGTAATGGTGGACATTGAAATTTGGATTTCCTGTGACTTTTCGTGAATCACAAAATATGAGCTTTTTATTTTTTTTCAAATATCAAAAATATCAAAATAATATCAAAAATAATCTAAGAATAAAACCTATTCTTAATACTACTAAATAGGAAACGGTCTGCATTTGGCTCACAGGTTTCCCGGACACTACTGTTTCCCCCCAGAGAGAGGACACACTTGACACAGGCCCGCAGAAGTAACTGTGGAATGCTTTGTCTCCTGGGTGTCAGAGCTGACTTCCCTCTGAACACCGAGGCAGACTTTGAGGGTCCAGCTCAATCCCAGATACAGGGAAATTATTTGCATGCATTTGCACTTGGGGCTGCACTTTTATATCACCTTAGGGCTGATGTAGAACTTCCTTATAATACTCTTCTGTCCCCCAAGGCAGCTCTGGAGCCAGTCTCACTGCTGAACACCGCAGGATCTGGTCCAGTCAACTCTCTCGGGTTTTGTTGGAATATCACCACATAGAAATTAGGCCTATGGGAGATGGTCTTCAAAGAGAAGCTATTTCCCCATTAACTAGCAGTCACCTGGTAACATACAAGTTGAAGGCAGTACAATGTATTGGCTGAAAACCAAAGTTCTGGAAGGTTCTATGGGTGAATGTGGGCACATGGAGCTATACCTCCGAATCCCACACAACAGTTTCTACTGTGGAGGGCATAACGATATTTACCTGATAGAATCATTATGGGATTAACTGAATTGATAGTGATTAACTACTTAGAATACTTGACAAAGTTGAAACTAATGAAGGGTACGTTGTATTTTCAAGATAATATTTCAAGGCCTTGGGGAAAGAGACAAAATATAACAAGAAGGAGTCAAGAATTAGACTTTGGTATTTGGGGGCTGTGAAGTCACAGCATGAACTGTCTATTACCTCCATGAAATCCTGTGCCCCCACCTGAAAGGAGAGAGACCAATGACCTTGCAATCAGGTTGTCGCAAGGAACAGACTGTGTGGCTCACGTGATGTGCCTGACGTTACATGCGACCCTTTAAATTGATTTCCTCCTAATAATAAATATAACTATTCAGCTAACAGGGTCATTGAGGTCAGAATTTTTATGCAAATGAGATGCGCATTTGTTTTATGGACTTCTTATGTAGAGCTTGATTTTGCCCACATAAATAATTTGGTCTGTTTTTATTGTGGCTGTTTTCCGCCCATGCTTATTAAAAATGCTGCATCTCTTTGAAGAGAAAGAGAATACCTTACTGGCATTTGTTTCCGTTGTCCCTAGTTGCTGTGACCCCTTACGGTTATGCGTCCAAGTTTGAGATCCACTTTGATGACAAATTTGATGTGTCCTTTGGGAGAGAAGGGGAGACCATGAGTCTGGGCTGTCGCGTAGTCATCACTCCTGAAATTAAACACTTCCAGCCAGAGGTCCAGTGGTACAGAAACGGTGAGTCTCTGGGCTAGGGTCTTACTCTGCATCTTAATTAGAGGTTCATGTGGGCCAGTTGCTATCTGCTTCCAGGGCTAGCAAAGCCTGTAAGCTGAAAACACACACGGCTGTACTGTTTGTTTGTTTGTTTTTAAATGATATGTTTATTTTTATTTTATGGGCATTGGTGTTTTGCCTGGATGTTTGTCTATGCAATATGTGTATGCACAGACAGAGAAGGCCATTATTTCCCCCGGTACTGGAGTCACAGATGGTTGTGAGTCATCATGAGTGCTGGGAATTGAACCCAAGTCCTCAGGCAAAGCAGTTAATGTTCTTAACCACTGAGCCGTCGCTCAAGCTCCTCATTTTATCTGTGAACTTACATTTTATATGTGAAGTCCCATGGGGCCACACACCATGCACATAGCAGAGAAGACAGGCCAAGTAGTCATACAGATAATCAGAGGCTCAGGCTAGGGATGGATGGGTCGTGGGCATCATGCCCACTAAGCTAAGGGCCTGGCCATCAGGTGTACCTGTGAGCACTTGGGGTAGTATGGGGCCCTAAGGTTCCAACAATATGGTGGTTAGGACCATGACCTAGCCCAGACTGGTCCCAGCAGCAGCAGCAGCAGCAGCAGCAGCAGCAGCAGCATAGTTAAATGATGACTATGGCTGTGACCCTGAGGACAGGACACAGTCTACAGGGAAACAGTAGAAGGAGCTTCCCCTCCTACCACAGAACTAATCTCTGTGGGCCATGAGCAGAGACTGTCCCAGCTCAGGGACAGGACCGACTTCCAGGCAGCAAGCTTGTCAGTAAAACACCGCATGTCTCGGTGAGCTTGTAGACATGGCAAGGAACATGCCCAAGGACATTAATGTTCTTGAGAGTTTAGAGCCGAGTCTTAAAATGAAATTTAGTGATTGCAGCATTCAGTGGAAAGAACGTGTTCTTCACATAGATTCTGAATGGGCCAGTCATTAACAAAAGGAGCAGTCGTAGAATTAATTTTTTCTTATAGCTGAAAACACAGTGATGAAATGCATAAGCAGGCATTTTGGATTGTAAATGAATCGTGACTTCTAAAGGCTAAATGACAAAGCAGAATAGACATTAAAATGCAATTGGATAAATTTACATTTAAAGTTAAGTTCAGGCAATACAAAAGTGGTTTGTACAGTTGAGCTTTTTGGAAAAAATTCTTCCTCAATAATCACAAGTTCTAGAATATTAAAATTTATACTAATCTGTTGCATATAAATTATGGTACCAAATATTCTTCTTGTAGTTTGTATGACCCCTGTTATAAGTGAGAATTTTAAAATGAAACGCTTTAAAGTGAAAAGGGGCTGTCTTAATTAGGGTTACCACTGCTGTGATGAAACAACACGGGGAAGAGGAGTTTATTTGGCTCACACTTCCACATCACTGTCCACCACTGAGGGAGTCAGGAACTCAGGCAGGGCAGGAACCTGGAGGCAGGAGCTGAGGCAGAGGCCATGGAGGGCGCTGCTTACCGCCTTGCTCCCCATGGCCTGCTCAGTCTGCTTTCTTATAGAACCCGGGACCACCTGCCTGGGGTGGCATTACCCGGAATGGGCTGGGCCTTCTACTGTCAACCTCTAATTAAGAACATGTTTTGTCCTTCCTCAGTTGAGGTTCCTCCTCTCAAATAACTCTAGCCTGTGCCAAGTTGACATAAAATAGCCAGCCCAGAAAGCAAAACTCAACACTTTGAACTTCTCTGCTCTTGGAACGAAGAGCTTTAAACTTTAATTTTGTCAGATGTTGCACATTCTGTGTCTGCCGTGCCCCTCACTTCTGTTTACTATTTGCCTTAATATTAAACACAGCAGAGTGGCTGAAAGATCTAGAGAGCTCTAAGAGTCAAATACTTTCAATGTGGAAGCCTGCAGGGAGGGAGAGGGGCGGAGTGGGAGAAAGGGAGTTAAAGAGGACAAAAGTCGATGAGTTTGCTTGCTTTATTTATTTATTTTTACGTTTCTAGGAGCACCTGTTTCTCCATCCAAATGGGTGCAGCCACACTGGAGTGGAGAGCGGGCAACGCTCACTTTCTCACACCTCAACAAGGAGGACGAGGGCCTCTACACGATCCGCGTGCGCATGGGAGAGTATTACGAACAGTACAGCGCTTATGTCTTTGTTCGAGGTAAGAACTGGCCAAGAGCCCGGCACACAACCTCACCGAGAGCACCAAAGCAGTCAGCACAACCGTGTTAGACAGCCCCCAGCACCGGCACAGGCCCGGGCCTGTGGCTAACAACAGCACTGTCTCCAGGGGGCGCCAGTGCAGTGAGCGGTGCCACTAGGTCCTCTGTGTGGGAAGCAGCCTTGGTTTCTGGAAGCTGCCATGGAAGCTTCCTCTGCTCTGACGTTCCTCAAAAACGTCCTCGGCTCTCCGTGGAGGCCCCCTCTCTAACAAGTGTCTCACAGAGCAAGCGTATCGTTCCATTCAGGGCTCCTCCTTTTCACAGCTTTGGTTCGATGAAGAAGGAAACAGGTGTGGAAGTTAACGCTTAGGACCAACTGCAGTCGTGGGCTTTAAGCTTTCTTTTCCCCCTGCTGTCTTGAACGGGCTGGGTCCGTGCAGAGGCGTCTTGATCTCTGTGGGGTCCTAGCACTTTCAGCCTGTGCTCTGTCTTCTTTCGTGCAGTAGCCGCTCAGGTACGGGCACAGGGGAGACACGGGGTAGACTCAAGAGAACAAAGTGTGTTCTGCTCCCAGATCTCAGACACAGGAGCTCCTCAGGGCTGTGTGGGAAAGCACCAGGGGTCAGGGGTCCATGGCTCCAGAGGCTGAAGGCCAGGAACAAAGGGAGAACCTGGACTGTGGCCTTCACTGGCATCGTTCAGAAAGGGCAAGGTATAGGCCTGGTGATTAGCTTGACTCCGAAGGTCCCCTGTTAGTGCCTGGCATGGGGAGAGGGCGGGTAGGCATGTGGGAGGCTGATTAAGAACGTAGCCTCCTGGGTGGTGTGGGCCAGGAGGAGGAAATGCAGGGCGGTTGGCCTGCATGTCCTAGCCCCGTTGTGGAGACAGTCTGTTGTCTCCAGGCTTCAGATCGCCTGGGGAGGGGCAACTCTCCCCAGCCAGAAAGAGTGAAAGACATCAGAATACACAGACAATTAGAAGTATAAACAATGTAGATGATTTACTGATTTTTAATCTCTCGTGTACTAAATAGAAGAATGAACTCACAGGTATTTTGATCAAGATGGAACTGCAGATGCCATTCACATGCCTTTAAAATAAGACCAACTGCTCTGTAACTAGAACCTTTCAGCAGTATAACTGGTTTCTTCTGAACCGCCATGTCTTTTATTAATTTTGAAGCATTATTCTTAGTTGGTCTGAGAGAAAACTCAGGAAGTAGACTGCCGGCCATGTAAGCGTGAGGACCTGAGTTTAGATGGCCAGCACCCAGGCGGTGGCCTCCCCTGTGTTTCCTGGGAGACGCTGAGAGGATCCGTGGGGCTTGCTGTCCAGCCAGGCTTTCTTCGTCTGCCAGCTCCGGGTCAGGCAGAGACCCTGTCTCAAAAAACAGGGTGGGGATTGCCTGAGGAAGACGCCAGGATCAGCCTCTGGTCTACACACACAGAACATATCTGCACACGAGCATACAACAACAACAACACCCACACAGCAGAAGATACCTGCACACATGCACACAAACGACACCACCACACACAGCCCCTTACACAACATTTCCTGAAAATAATCCTTGTTCTCCTGTGGAACCTCAGAGGGGCCCACACATCACAGCAGTAGAAACAACCACTAGAAAACTTCCCTCCTACGTCTGTTAGCTCCTCACGGCTTGGCCCTTCGGCCACGTCTGTCGATTGGTCCTGTCGGCTCTGTTCAGTGTGATCATACCGTGCTGTCCCAAGCTGTCATTCCAGCTTGAGAGGAAAAGAGGAAAGAAGCGGGGCGTTGGGGAGGACAGGGCTCACATCACTTCTGTCTGGTGAACATGTTTCATATATTCCACATACAACACTCTCCGAGGTTAGCCCGTGTGTTCCCGGGCAACACGTAGTGGTTATAGGAAGCCGGAAGAATGAGTTCTGGGGACACGCAACACTCTGTATCACAACCACATTGAACAATGTCAACGGATCACTAGATTCTGCCATGAACTAGCAACGGATAAAAGATACATAACATCTGGGAAACGTGGCAGGGTGTCTTGGCCACTGAAGCATTATGGGCAAAGTCAGGTATTGCTGAGGGAATGGACCAGGCGCCCTTCATAAAGGTTGCTATGGAAACAGGCTCCCTGGAACTCATCAGGAAGTTAGGTTAAGCACAACGCCTGGATAAACCTGGCTAGATTCTGACTGAATATGCAAAGTCGTCCCATTTCCTCTCAGCTGTCTGGAGAACGCCTGTAGTTATGCCAAACAACAACAGAAGCAGAAACGAAATCCTTGCTGCCCCTGTTCTGGGAACCCTGGCCTGGCTGGGTTGCTCTGTGTTTCTCATGCCCCACCTAGAACCGTGTCTCTGCCAGACTTCACATGCTGACTCCAGATGCAGAAAAGGGGCCCACGTTTAAATTTCATGCATCAGTTTTCATAATCCACATTTAAGAAAGTGGAAAGATGCTCACATTTATTAAACATTGATACGAAAGGATTGAGTGGATAACCGGGAAAGAAAAAGCAAGTGGGAAGATTTCAGCAACTGTATGTGAACTTAACAACTTTCAGAAAAGCTCATTTATATATATATATATATATATTCCTGCTACTACTGCTACTACTGTTCTGCAGTGCTGTGAAGCTCAGGAACTCGTATGTGCAGAGCTAACTAACACCTGTCTCTCAGCTTCATCCCTCAATTCACTCATTTGAAATGATGTCTTTTTAGAGTCTTAAGAACACCTTTATAAGTTCCCCACCTCAACCGTACACTCAATGTATTTTTAAAATATTTGAGAGCTAACCAGTCATCACCCTAACTTCCTTCTTTAGGATTTCTGTCACTCTGCATCTCCCCAAGTCACCCCCATGTCCAGTCATCCTTTCGCCACTGTTTGCTTTCCGTACCTACAGATCTTCTTTCAGGACATCTTTGGCCATCGGTGTCCTTCTGAGTCTGCCTCTTTCACTCACTTTTGAGGTTCACTTAAGTCCTAACACACCTGGTAGCTTGTTCCTTTGTGTATTCCAGTGTAGAGATGGCCTCATGCTGTGTGGGCAACCACTAACTGGCAGGCAGGAAGGCTGTCCCTTCTGTTTACTGCTTTCAAGGGTGCTGGCACTGTCAAAATTCATGTTCATATTTATGGGACAGTTCATCTCTTTCAATACACACTCGTGTTGAATTGCTGGATCACTTGACACGCTCATATTCAAGTTTTTTTTTTTTTTAGGACTACGAAGCTTCTCAAGTGATATTTTATGCGTTTTCAAACTTCTTCCATGGTGGCATGTGAGGCTACACAAGGCCGTTCTTTTGGGGGTTCTGGTATTTTCGCTGCTTACAAAGGAGCTTCTACGTCATCAGTATGTGCAGCGCTATGTTCTGTGGAAACATGTCAGAGCTGAGCACATTTGGACAGGTTTTTTATTACCCAGATAAGATGTGTATTGCAAACAATTTTATAAACAATAAAAGGAGGAAAGCCATGTATAAGTAGCCATCAGAAAGACTTAAGGTCAACATTTGTTACACTCTCTCCCACTTCAATCCTTCCCCCATATGAGCACATGCGCGCGCGCGCGCACACACACACACACACACACACACACACACACACACAGTGGGGGGATTATACAGTTATAACATGAAGAAGAACTGCAGATGGCAGTGCATGGAGGGTGCCATTAGTCACTGCAGCATTCTAAATTGCCATACTGAAAAGATAACAGGACTTTAGAGCCCCCTGTGGGGGCTGGGGAGCCAGCTCGGTGCCTGCCGCAAACACAGCAAAGCCCAGTGCCCTGTAAATGCCGCCGCCTCTGTGACCTCAGCACCGGAGGACGTAAGGCCGGGCAGAGGCAGAGGCAGGCGGACCCCAGCCAGGGCAGCCGACTCCACACCCTGCTGCTCTAGGGAGAGACTGTCTCAAAAGGCAAGGTGGAGCGCAACCGAGACAGACATCGCTCCCTGAACTCTCTGTGCGTGTGTGCACATACGCACGCCTACCCACATACACCTGTGCGCACACACAGACACAAAAACAACTCTCCCAGGGTGGGGGATACACGAGGCTGTACAAGGCTGCCACTATGAACTGGCTCAACGTTTCTGAGGGTGTCTTGCAACTGTGTACTTAAAGCATGAAGTCCAAGTTCTCCAGTGCCAGGACAAAGCGGACAAAGGTGAAGGCAAATATTACCTAAACGTGGGGATTCAGATGTCACCAGGAGGAGAGGTGTAAAGTAAAACGTTTTATCAATAATGTATTTTAATAATAAGGTGTAAATATACATATGAATAAGTATGAAAGGTCCATGCTTCACATGAAGAAAGAAATACTGCACGCAATAAAAACTAATGGCAGATGCCTATACTTATTGAAATATATCTAGAAAAGAGTAGTTTTCATGAAGACTATGACCAAAGTTATTTAAAAAACAAATAAATAATTTTTTAGCCAGGTGTGGTCTCATATGACTATAATCCTTAAATGTGAGAAGTAAAGCAGGAGGGTCAACCCTGAGTTCAAGGCCAGCCTGGGCTACAAATATTAATAATCATTATCATTTTTCTCTATATGTGTTGGCACATCTATAATTTTAGCATTGAGTAGATCAAGGCAGGAGGATTTTCAGCTCAGCACCAGCCGAAGTTATGTAGCAAAACCCATCTCAAAAACCCAAAATTTATCTTTTAGTTTATACATATAAAAATGTCCATGGAGTGTGGTGGCACATGCCTTTAATCCCAACATTTTGGGAGGCAGAGGCAGACAGATCACTGTGAGTTCAAGGCCAGCCTGGTCTACAGAGTGAGTCCAGGAGAGCTAATAATACTACACACAGAAACCCTGTCTCAAAAACAAAACAGAAATCTAGAAATGCTGATGCCAATATGTCAGTATCATTATTCTGAGTTACAAATTTAAAGGAGATTTTTAACTTTCTTGACTATTATTTATTTTATAATCATATACTACCTTTATAATAAATGTAAATAATAAGATAACATCTTGAAGAAGCCTATGTCTGAAGCCTAATCTTTGACCTTATTGATCAGCCTACAAAGAGTAGGCCCTTTGGAGGTAGGGCGAGAGAAAGAGAGAAGCTTTGGAGAGGGGAAGTGTCGGTTGGGTTGGGTGGGCGGTGGCCAGGGTTGTACAGCGGCAGCTGCTGGAACCCAGACGTGGGTGGTGCCTGACGTTCCGAGCAGACGTGGCTCCCCATACTGTGTTGCAGTTTCTTGACAACAAGAACAGAAATGTTTACTGTCTGTGTTTAGCACTGTCTTAGTTAGGGTTTCTGTTGCTATGATGAAGCAGAATGTCCAAAAGCAATGTGTATTTCATATTACAGCTTATGAATCCATCAGTGAGGGAGGCCGAGGCAGGAACACAAAGAGAGGAGCTGATACAGCGGTCATGGAGGGATGTCACTCCTCATCACTTGCTCAGCCTGGTTTTTTAGAGAACCCAGGACCACCAGCCAAGGGACGCCAGCACCCATACTGGCCTGGGCCCTCCCCCACTGATCACTAATCGAGAAAATGCGGGACAGACTTGCCTGTTGGCCAACATTATAGAGGCAGTTGAAAGTCCCTCTTCCCAAATGACTGCATCTTGTATTAAGCTGACATAAAAGCAGCCAGGACAAGCCAGGCACGGTGGCATATGCCTGCAATCCCAGTACTCAGGGAGGCAGAGGAAGGCGGATCTCTGTGAGTTCGAGGCCAACCTGGTCTACAAAGTGAGTCCAGGACAGCCAAGGCTACACAGAAAAACCTTGTCTCGAAAAAGCAACAACAACCAACCAAACAAAAACAACAAACAAACAAACAAACTAGCCAGGACAAGCACCTTGAAGAATAGTGAATGAACTTAGGAAAACAGCTCTGATGTAGTACCCACACTCAACTTTAGTAGAAGCCTAAGACAATTCAGGAAACAGAAGACATTGGTTGTTTATGAAGTAAAGTCACCTGAGACCCAGGCCTCCACTGCCTGGGTCAGTTAAATTTTGGTCATTCTTATGTGGTGTTTTGAACTAAGAACCAATAAGGTGAAATCTTTGCTTTTCCGGGACAGTGAATGCTGGTCAGCTGGGATGGAGAATCAGCTGTGATTAAGAGACCAGCATCAGTGAGGCAGAATTTTCTGGGAAGTTTTCCTCAGGGTCAACATATGGAGGCTGTGGTCCAGAGGTGGCCATGAGTGGATGAATGAATGAAAGCCTAAATAACTTAATAGATCTTCAAGCCCCGAACAACATCTTGTAGACTGTGTTGCAAAAATGCCGGCCCACGGCTCTCCGGACACCTCCAGGCATTCGTGGTCTGTTACAGTGCGCCCTGCCTTCTGTGACACACCAAAAGCAGCGGCTGCTCAGCTGACCAGACTCTGCTCTGTCAACATGGGGATTACTGTATCAATATGTGCAGTCATAGGCCTTTAACACAAAGATGTGTCTCTGTTGTTGCCGGCTGTCCCGCAGAGCGGTGGCCTTCTGGGAGTGCCTCTCCTGGTACCTGAGCACACCTTGTCAGCATCACCCAACCTCGCTCCTGCCCTGCTCTTCCTTCTGTCAGCAACGTCACTCTCCCTACTTGCCCGAAAAGCTGGCAGAGGATGCTCCGGGAAAGCACCTGTTTCCTGTCGCATGGCTTCGCTAGGCATGCAGGGGTTCTGCATTCAGCCTTGGTCACGATTTGCTGCTCTCATGCAGTGTGTCTGCAGGAGACATTAACCCAGAGAACGTGCCCTGATGGGTTATGGGACATGAAACCCGAGTAACCCTAGCACAAGTAACACAAACCTCTTAAGGCTAAACCCGGACGCCTGCAAAAGCTTCTGCCACCACATCCAACACCTTTGTAACTCCTGAGAGTTACAGAGAGGTTCAGTTGGCAGGAGGGTTTTTGCTGGAGTAAGAGGCTCCTATGTGTCCCAGGCTCTTCTAACTAATTCCTTACGGAAGGGCTGTTGACCTGCTAGGAAGAACTGGCACTGTGGGCTGCTCCCCCAGACTTACCACTGGCCTTAACCATTCTCAGTGAAAGGGTATATTTGTACTTCCTTTACGCTTGATTCACTAACTTAGCTGTGCCTGGGGCCTGGGGGAGGATTCACAATCTTACTTCACAGTCAGTATCCACTGTTTTCTGTATTAGTGCCGACTTTACTAAATTCAGGTGTGGGTACTGTGTTCTTTTCCCGAGTATCTGCAGTTTGCCTTCAGTTTGGAAACAGCCATCATGTGTGTTGAATTTTTTTTTTTTTTTTGTGTGTGTGTGTGTGTGTGTGTGTGTGTGTGTGTCTTCTATCTGCTAGGCCCTATTACAGGATTTAGTGCAGTCGACAGTATCAGATGTTTCAGCCCACGGTTGGCTGGTTCCATGTTTCAGGGCTGGCAGTGAGACTCTGTGTGTGACAGACCCACCTGGCGAACAGACCTGTTCAACTCAGGTCAGCTCAGAAGAAGGGAGTGGTAGCAAGACGGACCAGGCAGTCAAACCCTTTAAACATGTGCCCCACTGACCTGCCTCCTCCAGCCAAATCCCACCTCCACGTCCCAGCACTTACCAACAATCAGTCAATTAGTCAATTGCTAAACCCTCGCTGGGTTAAACCGCTGATCAGGCCAGAGCTGTCATGATCAGTGGCCTTGGAAACACATTCACAGGCACATTCACAGGTATGCTTGTGTCTCTCGGTCCACTCAAATAGACGTCAGTAACCAGCACATCTGGTTAAGGCAGATGTTTTCCTCTTCCAAAGGGCAGCGCCCGTTTAACGGTGGGCAAAGCTCATGGTTTTAATCCTATATGTGCATTCAGGTAACATGAGGGCTGTTCGTCTCTTCGGGAGCCTGTCACAGATTCGGTGCCATTGCCCAAACAATGGTTAAGAACAGATTTTCTGGCACGAGCCACCTATTTGATAGCTCCCTATTAATTTGGGGGAGATATTTTGGGAAGCAAGGGTGAGGAAACAAGATCTGTGGATTCTTTTCAGAGCCCTTTTGATTCTCTAATATCATGTTTTCCCCCCGGAAGTGAAAAGCACTCCTTGCTATATCGAAAAAACAAATTATAAAGTTTGAAGCTTGCTCTGTGAAGCCACATATGTCGCTACTGCTTTGATGTGCGGGAAGTATGTGCACCACGACCTTAGTCTGCCAAGCTGGGAGAGCCTGGCTGAGTAGTTAACAGGAGCCCTCTGTCCCCACAGATGCTGATGCGGAGATTGAAGGAGCCCCCGCCGCACCCTTGGATGTGGTGTCTTTGGATGCTAACAAGGATTACATCATCATCTCTTGGAAGCAGCCGGCTGTGGATGGAGGGAGCCCTATCCTGGGATACTTTATTGATAAGTTAGTGCTCAGCCTAATCTCAGTCAGAGTTCTGGGTGGACTTGATTTCTCCCATGGTTTCTAAGTGAAATGTTTTCTCCTCCCCTCCCTCTCTTTCTCCATATATATATATATATGCATATATATGTAGGTACCTATATATATAATATATTATATATTATATTACTGTATATTTTATTTATTAATAATTTTATCTTGTAATATAATTAATTATGTAATATTCTATTATATATTAGTATATTATATAATTAATTATATAGTAGAATATCAATTATAAGGTATATAGTATATAGCATATTATAATGTAATATATATACTATATAATTAATATAATAATATAATACATAATTAATCATTATATTAATATAATATATAACACATAATTATACTAGAATTGATATAATGTATAACACATAATTATTATAGAATTAATATAATATATAATACATAATATAGTAACATGATATATTATATTATAATATACAATTACAACATATAATATATAAAATATATAATTATTAATTTATGTTATATTCTATTAATATATTAATAATTATTATTAATATATAATTATATTAGATGTAATATGTTATTATATATTATATCTATAATATATACCATAGAACATGTAATATATAACATACATTATATAATATAACATATTATAAGATATACTAACATAATATAATAATTATGTAATATAGTATAATAATATAACATTATATTATATATTAGTACCTACTTATTTACATAAATCCTTTGAATTTGACAACCAATTCAAGTTGCTAACTTGGCAAAAATGTGATGAATTTGTAAACCTAAAATCAGAGGTCACAATAGAAATGAAGTAGCTGATATTTAATATAGTTAACATCCACATTCCTAGGATGGCAATTATTTAAGAGTACTGACTTTAGGAGCACAAATGAATTCCTTATACCATAGACGTGGTTCCAAGTTATACATTACATAAGAAATACCAACAAAAATCATAGTGTTAGGCTAAACTCGACCTGTGAATCTTTCTTTGTTAATTACATTCTTCAGAACTTACGAATTCTAGAATTTGTGGATTTTATACAAATATACCTGGGCAATACAAGCAACAAATTTGAACTATTGGCCCAAGTATGTGATTCTCTGTCTTAGTTTCTCTTCAAATAACTGTTTCAGTTAGTTTTTGCTTTTGGCCATGGAAACAGTTAGAGACTGTTCGTTCTATCTCCGCATATCAAACTTCATGTTTGTAACGATGAGCAAAAATGTGCTTACAGTGCTCAAAGCCTTCCAGGGAAATGTCTGTAGTAGGTTCACCCTGCTCAGGCACAGACATGAGGCAGGAAGGAGGCTTCATGTACTTCTGAGCGGGGAGGCTGTGTGAGCTCGTTTACTGTCTGCTGTGTTGTCTTTGACAAACAGCCAAGAGATCTGCAAACTCCGTGGAGGGTTAGGGACAATCAGTGCCTGCTGTTCTCTTGCCTCAGTCTTTACAAATAAGCACACCCTGGCTACTGTTTGCCAGGACACTGTCCTGAGCAGGGCATGACCGTCCTGGACAGGCCTCACTGTGAGAGACAGGAAAGAAACGCTGGCTCAAGCTGCAGGCATTGTGGAAAGGTCACCATGCCTGAAGTCACGTGGGGAGGCAGCCCAGGGCAAGGCTGACTGCAGGTCGTTCTGCTCTTGACGCTTCTAGAGATGTCCTCACCCCTTTCTCCTGCACAGATGGTTAAGAGGAGTGGTCCGGTGTCACCGAGTCACTGTGGCAGTGTCTGAGCACACAGACAGAACCTTGGGAGACAGGTCTAGGAGAGTCGCTGAAGTGCCCTCAGCTCCCTGCTCTTTCCCCGTACATAACATCCCCAGAAACTCCACCACGCAGAGCCTTAGGGAGAGCGGCTGGGCTAAGACAAGAACTGCAAATACACCCAAGGGTGAGGAAGGAAGCCCCTCCCCGCTCCCGCAGCGTTTTGGCGCTGCCCTCCCATGAGCACTGTTTGGGAATTAGACATTCTGAACACAGCGCCGCGCTGGATGTGTTTCAAGCTAAAAGCATTGTGCACGGCTCGCAAAGAGAACAAGTAATTGCTTTAGGATAATGCTGCGCGGTTTCGCCCACGCGCGGAGTCTCTGAGCTGTGGGGACGGGGTCGGCAGCCTTGTGGGAACTCTCGAGTTCCCTCCCGAGCAGTTCCCTGACTTTGTTCTTGGGTGCCCGTGGCTTCCTTAGCAGGCAACTAGAAATCAGCTTCCAAGCGCTTCATTTCCCTTCGGGGATCCTCAGTCTCATCGTTAGATAACAAAACAGAACAAAAAGAGCACTCGTGGGCGTGGCGTGCGGTCCCTGTACTTAGCAGGTAGAGGTTAGGAGTTCAAAACCAGCTTGGCTACGTAAACGAGACCTCAGAGAGGGCACAGAGGAGAGGGTGAGGAAAGCGAAGAAGCAAATATATCATGATGACCTCCTGGCCCTTGCAAACGCACAGGACGTACTGATCGTCAAGCAGGCAAACAGTGCGCTGCTCCCAGACTGCAGCACAGACAGTTTGTGCTCCTTTTTGTTTGGTCGGTCTAGCTTTTGGAGAGTCTCCCTGCACAGCCTAGACTGGCCTCAAGGTCATGATCCTTCTACCTCGGGTTCCCAAATGCTGGGATTACAGGTGTGCCCAGCTGGGCCGTTGTCTTTTTAGGTCCCAACTTACCCTGCAATAATTCTGTTTCTGAAAGAAAATGCCTGAAGAAGACACAGAAGTCACTAGCAGTGGAGTTAAAGGTGTCTGTGGGCCGACGGGGTGAGGGATCCTTCTCCTAAACCTATGCTGTGTAAAGATTCTGGAGGGATGGCTCAGTGGTTGAAGCACTGGCTGCTCTTCCAGAGGACCAGGGTTCGAGTCCCGGCACCCATGCGGCAGCTCACCCCTGTCTTTACGTAACTCCAGTTCCAAGGGGTCCAACAGCCTCTTTGTCCTCGGCAGGCACCACACACACGAGTGGTACACAGCATACACTCGGGCAAAACACCCACACACATTAAAGAGCAAAGAAGATTCCGGGTACCTGCATGGTTTTCTCCCCCTCATCCCTAACTCCTCTTCTTGACACACAGGAGCAGTCAGCTGCTTGGTTAGGAAAGGTCTGAGGCTTCCTTCTTCATGATAAAGAAGACCAGTTAGCTGCTGGCTGGTAAGCTGTCTCAGCGAGTGAAGTGGATACCTAGACCTCACCTCACCTCTCCTTCAAGTGGTCCTTTGGACTTGCACACACACACAGACACACACACACACACACACACACACAGACACACACACACACAGACACACACACACACACACACACACACACACCTGAAATTTTTTTAAAAGAAAAAGCTAAAAGGATGCATTGACGGTGAGCGGAAGTGAGCGTCTGAAGTCTAGAAGCCTCGATAGCCAGGCAGGAGCTCCTCCATGTTTGGACACGGGGAATTGCTGAGGCGACAGGGTCAATTAGCCCTCGGCCCTGGCAGCCAGCACTGTTCCGGTCTGCCAACCGCTCTCTTCCGCAGGTGTGAGGTGGGCACGGACAGCTGGACGCAGTGCAACGACACGCCCGTGAAGTTTGCTCGGTTTCCCGTCACTGGGTTGATAGAGGGCCGTTCCTATGTATTCCGAGTCCGAGCTGTGAACAAGACTGGAGTAGGCCTGCCGTCTCGAGTGTCTGAGCCCGTGGCTGCTCTGGATCCAGCTGAGAAAGCTAGACTTAAGAGTGAGTTCTTTCCGTTTCTCTGCATCTTCCCTGAAAAATCACAACCGGAAAAATCCCAAACCGACAAGAATGGCCAGCAGCGCCACCCAAATGTGGTGTCACTGCAAGTACTTCCTCCCCTGCCCACTAGAGGGAGACAAGAGTAAAAAAAAAATTTTCTGATCAGAAAATCACGTGGTTGGAGTGAGCCCAAGACCATAAAAATATTTGGTTTTGATTCATTCTTTATTTTAAGTGTTTCTTTAAATCCCACTTTACTCCGAAGAGTGAAGCTTGCTAATTGTGTCCTGTCATGAGGTATAGTATGAAATGCGGGAGTAAATGGCTCAAAGATCATTTTTCATTCTCATTGTTTAGTGTATTCTAAATATAACATTTATGGTTCCAAGCGAATTTTTTGACCTTGGAGTCTTTGTTCAAGCATTAGCATTAGCTCAATCCTGTGAGCTTCTCCATCTTGTTTTGAAGACAAATTTACCTCTGATGCAAATCTGAATTTACATACAGGCCATATGAAATAATTGTGGGTTGTCAAGATGGCTCAGCATGTCAATGTGCCTGCTGCCCAGCCTGGCAACCTGAGTTCAGTGCCCAAACCCCTGCGGTGGAAGGAGAGGGCCGACTCCTGCGAGCTGGCCTCTGACCTCCATATGTACCCTGTGCTATATAGGCGGTCATGCACACATACACAATTAAGATGTAATCTAAAAAATAATAATTTCGTCTGTTTATCTTCCAAGTCTGAATGTCAAAGCCACGGTGCATCGGTTGTACCTTCGACAGAAACCTATATGGCATCCCGACATTTGGGACAGTGAGATGACATCCTGAGACTCTGCAGACAGTGACCTTCCGCTCTGTCCCCACGGCCCCCGTCACACTTTAGCCAGCAGTTGTTAGCTGAGGGAAGAGGCGTGTAGGATGCTTGGGGACAGGCCTTGTCTTTGCCTGCTACACGCCAATGGCATTATTTGCCAGCTGTCATCCGGAAGGAGCCAGACACTGCCAAATACCCTAGGGGGTAGGAGCTGACTCTTGAGGAGGATTACAGGTCCATCCTACTTATGCTTCTATTCTTTACCTTAGCTACTTTTAGTGCCATCACAAAACTCCAAGAGCAGTAGCATCACATTTAGACTTCCCTCTCTGTTAAGTCAGTCAGCTCCCCTCATGCTTTCCTCTACTCTTTTATGAATTCCAGTCGAATAAGATTTTTGTGACAGAGACACATTGTCTTCTTTGCTGCCTTCCTGTTTCCCGCACAGATGTTCGTGAACACTCTCCCAGGAAAGCAAAATCAAACCGTGCTTTCTTTCCTAAACAATCTGTCTATCTGTCTATGTATCTGTCCATGTATCTATCATCTATCTATCTATCTATCTATCTATCTATCTATCTATCTATCTATGTATTTATGTATCTGTGATCTATATCTATGTATCTATGTATCTGTTTATATCTATCTATCTATCTATCTATCTATCTATCTATCTATCTATCTATCTATCTGTGTATCTGTCTATCTGTGTATCTGTCTATCTGTCGAGCTCTGCGGGTATCTGTGTGTATGGATGTGGTATGCATGTCACAGTGTTCACGCGGAAGCCAGAGGACAGGCAGCTCTCAGGTGTTGGTTCTCTCCTTCTACCGCAGGGGTTCCAGCGACTGAGCTCATGTCACCAGGGTTGGCAGCAGGCACCTGTACCACAGAGCCACCCTCCCACCATTCTCTCTTCATGCTTTTGGGCCCACAGGATAGATTCTTTTCCTCCCATTTTTTCCTTCTTTTTTTTAAGTTATTCTTCCTTCATGTATTACACCCCGACTGCAGTTTCCCTCGCTCCTCTTCTCCCACCTCTCCCCTCATCTCCACTCTCCTAGACACAGTCTTCCATCTTCCTTCAGAAACAGCAGGCCTGTCAGGGATATCAAGACTACATATCTTGTAAGAAGACGAGGCACCTCCCCTCATAGGAAGGCTGAAGGAGGACCCCCCCAGGAGGAAAAGTTCCCCTTCTCTAGCTTCACAGCTTTCTCTTCCATTTCCTTAGGCTGGCCTCCCATAGATAACACTTCAGAACAACAGGAAGGGCTTGCTCCCATCCAGCTCTCCTGCCTGCTCGGTGGCCCTGTCTCCTCTGATCCTCATGATGACAGATACAGAACTACTAGGCTTCCGGCTGTTCCTCCGAAATGTGTGTTGTCTCTGGAGAAGGCACGGGGAAGCCCGTGTGTCTCGGGGGCTGTGTGCTAAGCAGTTATGTGAGCACAGCTTAGCTCGTGTAGGTAGAGTTGGAGGACTTCAGCTCAGTCCAGGGAGATGCTGGGCTCTGGCAGCGCCATGCATCCCCCAGCATGCCACCTGGGTTGCTAATGGAACGTTCGGAAGACATAGAAAAGAGCTAGAAGCTATTTGACCAATCCAGCTGGTCGACTGGTTTATCAAAGATCGATGGCACAGTTGTGAGCACGTGACTTTTGCACTTGTCCTCTTCAGGTCGCCCTTCAGCACCCTGGACCGGGCAGATCATTGTCACGGAGGAGGAGCCTACAGGTAACAACTCTAGCCTCTCCAGAGGCCGCTGCTGATGACTTAGCTTTGCCTATAAACGCATATTACTGTTCGTTAGGCAGTGGTACCTTGTTTTATCTTACAAAGCCATTCAAAAAGGAAGTGTCTTGACAAGTTGGCCAGTTTCCTTCCATTGGGAAGCACAATTACTTGATATAAATTACTAGATTAAATGGATGTTTAGGCACTCACATGTTAAGTTGGTCAAAACCAAACAGTTTCTAACCCCCCTCCACAGAAGGTAGCCCATGTTTCCCAGAACACTGTAGTCAACAAATAATCATGCAATTTCTTTCTAGGGATAGGGTGCTTCTCTGTGGTCTTATTAAGACATTTTAAATCAGTCTTCTGGGATACATGAACAAAATACGAGAATGACTTGGGGTCACGATGGAATAAAGACATCCTAACTTTTAAGTGAAATAGCCTCCCTACATGAAACTATACATGATTTTCATAGAGTTGCCTCGATTAGATCACAATCAGATTATTGTAGGAAATGTTATAGAGGGCCACATTCTACTCTTTTTAGTTAATAAAAACTTAAAAAAATCCTTCTGCATGTCCCATCCCCAACAAGATTGGCAATGTCACAGAGGGGCTAAGAATCCTACCATCTATCTAGTGGAGATTTAGTATCTGCCACACACACACACACACACACACACACACACACACACACACACACGGAAGGATGCTTAGTTCACAGGGCTGAAGATCTTTACCGTAACAGTACTTGAGGCCCTTGTGTATGACAGTCATCGTGATTTTTTTGTTGCTGGGCCTGAGTACATCTTTTTTCTCTGCTTGTTTCTAAGATATTCTGTTTGTTGCTGGCTTTAGAATTTTGAGTACGACGTGCAGCGGTGGGTGGGTTTTCTTCTGACACACCGTGCTTGGGCTCAACAGGCCTCTCGGGTCTGTGGGTTTATAGCTGTCATCTGAGGTGCAGAGGTTTCACTGCGATCATGTATTACTCGAAACCAGCTCAGGTTGCTTCTCAGCTGACGGGTGCCGTATCCCCTCCGTCTCCATCCTCCTGAGCATGGGGAATGCTTATAATCATGGTTTTTATCTGTAGCCACTTCCATGTCCTTGCCTGATCATTGCTTAGCAACCCACAGATGACACTAATCCTCTCACCCGTGGCATTTCTGGGTTTGTTACTAATAATTAATCCTTTCCCCCTCTGTACAGGCTGTTATTTTCTTGCTCTCACACACACTTGTTTTTTTTTTTTTAATTAGATACTAGATATTTTGAGTTTTTGATTCTTGATGCTGGATATCTTTATATATTTCTGGAAATGCCTTTGAGCATTGTTTTGAGGAAACAAATCTTTTCAAGGTGGCAGGGAACTCAGCCGCTGTGAGGGGAGGGAAAGAGAGGAAAAGGGAGGAAAGATGTTTTCTAATGAAGATGTTGTGGTTGTGAGGTAGATTCAGAGGGCACAGGTGACTCCCACACTTTTGACCTTGACACAGAGGTCAATCCCAGCATCTCGCGGCCCACTCCAGACTTCAGTTGGTACGTTATGTGCTTCGGAACCCAAGCACACACTGCCTTGCATGGTTCAACTTCTCTTCATCAACTCAGCTGTAAATCACTTAAGGACAAGACTGGTCCCAGGTCCCTTCAGTCTGTCTGTATGATAAACGCACAGTGTCATCTGAATAATAAGTGAATGAAAGACTTTGAAAGAGAAAAGCGCAGGGACCGGCTTCTTCACACAGTGGCCTCAGGAAGAGAGAAGCACCCGTCCTTCTCCGTGTGTCCTTGGCCCCATGAACACGTGCACCTCACTCTACCCTTTTGTTTTTCAGAGGGCATCATTCCTGGCCCCCCCACAGACCTCTCTGTCACTGAGGCCACTCGGAGCTACATCGTGCTGAGCTGGAAACCCCCTGGCCAGCGAGGCCATGAAGGCATTATGTACTTTGTAGAGAAGGTAAGATCCCGGCTCTGCTCCTGCCGCCTCCTCATGGTCATGTTAATATCTAGTAACAATGGGGTAGAGGAGGGCAGCCCCAGGAATAACCTAGACTCTTCAAGTCCTTCCAGATTACGGACTGTTAAAATGCATATGCCACACACGACTTTACCATGGCACCCTGGATCCACTCGCGTTCCTGAAACTGTAGATTGCCTGTATGACAGTGTTTTCTAGAGCAGCCCCCATCTCCCTTGCTCCCTGACCGCTGCCTACCGGTCCTTCTGTTGAGTGATGAAACACATGATGACAAGGGAAACAGAGACGTTGTACTGTTTTCAGACAGTAGGGAGAGGTGAGGACAGCAAGCCTTCACACACTGCCGTGTGGAGTAGTCTCCTAATACGCAATTGAGTGCCTGACAAAACAGAGCAGCCTACGTAACGGCTAATTCTTTCCCCCCAGATGCCTTAGAATCATTTTAAGGATCAGAACATTAGAGGCAGCTTGCAACAAAACAAATTAGGTGAGCGTGATAAGAGGGCTAATCATACATAGAGCCGTATCCCAGGAGGTTCTGATAAGCATTGGTGAACAGCCAGTGATAAAGGGGCAAGAGCTAGCCAGGACGCTACTGAAGAAAGTGGGTTAGCTGCCAGCATAGAAACGCACGAGAGTCTGCAGACAAAGGGCACAGGAGTCCTCCTGCACAAGATCACGGCTCCTGGAAAGGGCGTTGAAGAAGAATTTAACGTGAAGCGCCGAGACCACTGTTGACAAAGTTTTGATGGGGTGTAAGGGCCGCAGCTCCAGGTTAGAGCACTTGTGCAGCATTCGGGTGCCTTTGACGAATCCCCACTGCCACAAAAGCGAGAGTAGGACCTAACGGAGAAGGTTATTTGTCTGACATGGGAACGCACTTATGCATTTATTCAGAGAAATATGCTGTTATTGACAAAAGGGAGGCTACTGTTTATGCTTTAAATTTTCATCTTTGCGAAATTATGTAAAAAGACAGTTGGGTTTTTTTCTCACAAAAATCTGGAACTCAATTTTCCTTTCATCCAGATCACATTCTGATCATTCAATGTCAGAACAACTGTCAGGGACCTTCCCTTCTCTGTGAATCCATTTCTGAGGACTCTACACCTTGGGTGGCAATAGAAAAGCAGTGTACAGACACTGTTTTACAGTGATAAGACTGGACGTTGGGTTCACACACAACAGCAGGCTACTGCTCTGCCTCACTCTCCCTTTGAGATCTTCTCATCACGGCCTTCTGAGCACCTGTGATTACAGACGTGGGCTTCCAGGCCTGGCCAATATACAAACTTTAAAAATTATATATATGTATATTATGTACACATGTTATATATTACACTTATATATGATCCATAATTATATATAACTGTGATATATGTATATATATATGAGTTCCATTATGGCATTTTCATATATTTCATATCCTTCTCTTCTTTTTTCTTTCTCCCACTGACCCCTCCTCTTTTCTCCGTCTGTTTTCATGTCTTGTTTTGTTGTTGTAGAAGTTTTGTTGTTGTTGTTTGGGTCTCACTGGGTTGCTTACAGGATCATGGATGAGGGATTGCTCATAGGCTGCACCATGGAAGAAAATGTCTTCTCCATCACTACCACCATTAACCAATAAGTACCCATGAGACCCGGCCCACTCCATGACAGGCTCTTAACTGGCCTTATTACGTACATATATTTCAATATTCAAACTTTGAACACATGCTTTATGTGTGCATATAAAATACATACATGCATGTTTTGTGTGTGTGTGTGCACGTCTATGGCAATACACATGCCAGACGCTACACTATGCAAGTTGTTTTCTCCTTCTGTGTGGGTCTCAGGGTCAAATTTAGGTAGTTTTCAGTGGCAGTTGCCTTTACCCACCAAGCCACATCACTCGTGAAATATTTGACTGTGTTGATCCTTTCATTTATTTCAAATTGGTGGCTCTTAAGAGTCCCACCAAAGTAACACATGTCATGGTCTGCAGCTTTTCTTTGGCAATCGCTTTCTTTGCAGGGAACTTTCCTGTTGTCCTTGAGGTGGACAGCTTGCTTCTTTCTTACTGCAGGCCATTGCTAACGATAACTGTTTCCCAGGCAACACAGACCTCTTCCAAGAGTCTGGCTTAATGAAATCTAAAATCATGTATTTTCTAAATATGACTTTGGTAGCATGCTAAGCTTCTTGTTTTTCTGTTTTAATAGGAGCAATGGTAGAATAATGGCTAAGTGTGTACCTCCTGGTGCACTCAGCACACAGCCATGCCCTCGGCCTTTCTCTGACTGACTCCACGGGAAGGGGCTCTGAGTTAACTCTGCGACGGTGATTACTGTTTTGCTCAAACAATGACGCTCAGCAACCCCCTCTGAGACACCTTCTTCAGCTGAGTCAGTGCTGGCTTTCTGACCATTTCCCATTGCTCACTTCAACATGAATTTTTCCATGAAAGCCTGTAACTTCCCCAGATTAAAATACATATCATCTGTTGCTAAACAACTAAGTGGTTTTTTTTTACCAGCCTGCTCGGCCGGATGGAATAGAAGATAATATTTAAGAGCTTGCACGAAGCTCCCACTCTTAGAGCATCCAGGATCCTGGCAGAGTGAGGCGTCAGACCATGTCCGGGACCTAGGATGCATTTACAGACTTTCCAAATGTCAAGCCATGAGTCTAATTCTTTCTGATGAACCATTCGTGATCTGTTGCTGGTCCCCTGGTGTGTTTTTCCCCGACCTAGGATGCTCATACAGCCACAGTGCTATCTCCTAGACTACAGCATGCCTGCACTTGATGGAATTTCACCAGGCATTTGCATGCACATGAACTATGAGCGGGTCCATCATGGGACAGGCTTATAGTCAAACATGGAAGCCAGGCATGATTCCTAAAATGGTTGAAACCAAGAGCCCAGAGTGGCTTCAAAATCCTGACTTCCTTCCTGCCTCCTCCTTCTGAGGGCTGAGGTGACACACGCTCCACTATACCTGTGACATACATGTGCCGATATACCTTTTGATCTCCTTAAAGTTTGTTTTTTTGTTTTGTTTTGTTTTGTTTTGTTTTTAACGTTGTATGATTTATTCTAAAATTCAGGCCCAATTTCACAAAGGAGCACCTTTGTATTTCCATAACCAAATTTGTTTGTTCATTCATTCATAGAAGAAACTTTGAGTCCCTCCTGGGCTGAGGCAGGACAGGGAGGAGGTCCCCTGATCACATGAGATGTTCCCTGTGGCAGAGGAGACAACAAATAAATCAATAGCCGATAGCGACAAATGTTCTGATCACAAAGTAGAGCAGGGCAAGGGGACAGGGTGATGAGAGAAGGACCCGGACTCTTCCAAACAGGTGATGGGAGGTGGTCTAAATAGGCCGTTCTGAGGGGGTGGCGGCTGAGCACGGGCCTGAAGGATGCCACGTGCCCCGCCACTCAATTTAAATAACACCGCTCCTAGAGATGCTGCACACATTTAAATACCGGAAACAGCTTATTGAGCCCACACCCAAACTTAGGAAAGCAACCATCCTCGAGGAAAAGACTCTGAGGAGACAAGTGTGTTCACAGACGAATGCAGTGGAGTGTGAAAACGGTTAATCAAAACACTGAAAAGTCACCTTTGCTGTAGGATCCCGTGCCTCCAGCTGTCCCCCTTCCACATCTCCTCTTCAGTCTGTCCCTAGAGAAGGGGGTGGTTTGTTGGCAGGCAAATAAGTGTGAGTCCCCCCGGGGGGGGGCTCCGGGGGCCTCCAGTGACATCACTGTTCCCTCTGCAGTGTGACATGGGGACGGAAAACTGGCAGCGCGTCAACACGGAGCTCCCCGTGAAGTCTCCCCGCTTTGCTCTGTTCGACCTGGTGGAGGGGAAGTCTTACCGCTTCCGTGTCCGCTGTTCAAATTCGGCAGGCATCGGCGAACCCTCGGAGGCCACCGAAGTCACCGCCGTGGGAGACAAACTTGGTAAGCTCACACTGAGCAGCTGTGGCCCCCCCTTTTTTTTCTAGAGAAAATTCCTACACTACTGTTGTTTTGCTGATGCAAGGCAAGTCCCAGGTTTCGACAGCTAGTATAGTTTCCAGTGTCCACAGCCACTTCATTCACTACTACTCGTCCTAAATAACATTTCCTTAGCAGAATGCATCCTAAAACAAAGCAGCTGTTTTGTTTACGAGATTGTGTAAGACCCTTAGGCACGTGTGTTTGCGCAAATGTCACGGGAATGAAGTATACTGAGCTGTCTTGAGTTCCATCATCACCTTCTTCTCCATGCAGATATCCCCAAGGCCCCTGGCAAAATCATCCCGAGCAGAAACACGGACACCTCCGTGGTGGTTTCTTGGGAGGAGTCTGAAGATGCCAATGAACTGGTTGGGTACTACATCGAGTCCAGCGTCGTCGGTTCCGGCAAGTGGGAGCCCTGTAACAACAACCCCGTGAAGGGCTCACGGTAAGGCGTGCGTGCAGGAGTGAGCCCTGGCTCATGTGGTGTGTGTGTGTGTGTGTGTGTGTAGTGTGAGTGTGTGAGCAGTCCAACCTGGATTGCCCTTGCAGAGGCCCTGACTTCAGTTCCTGAAGCCCACATTGGGTGACTGACAAGTCCACCTCCAGGGGATCTGACAGTCTCTTCTGGCATCCTGAGGCACCTCCAAACACAGGCACATTCTCCCCACATCCAAAACACACACGTAGCTATATTGTTAGAAAAAATCTTTTTAAAAACACATAAACATATATACTTTAAATAGCCAAAAGAATTTTTAAAAAAGACTTGTAATGTCAGACACTTAGAAGAAACATAAAAATACCATCTAAAGTTCACTTTATAGTCCTTCCCTGATTCTTTTGATTTTTTCCCCATTGTTACTCTCTGGTCTTACATATGCAAAGCAATACCAGACTCTAAGAACCTAACATGCTCTCCCAAACACGAAGAACTTGGTATTTTGAGAGAGCAGAGAACAGAGTGTCAGCACTTTATAAATTCTGGACATCAACACGGGTAAGCCCGGAACCAAGCAGACAGAAAAGGCCATCAAAACAAGGGCGTGCTGTCAGTTTGCCACCTCCTTGTTTCTGTTTTCGATGTGGGGAAGGTGAGTTTTTTAATGATTTTCTCGACCAGCCACGCTTGCTTTAGTGAGAAACCAGCTCTAGAAAGGGTCTGGCAGGCTGGTTGTGTAGCTTCTCCTTGGCACTTTCCCAAGGCCACAGATTCCCAGAGCATGAGTGGCACTAGAACCTGAGAGAATCTGAGAGCAGATTAGAGGGGGGCAGCAGCAGGCTTTGCGTGAGAGTTATTTCTTAGGCTGGAGTGACTGTGTGTGCCATCTTTATCCTGGGCTTTTAGAGGCCCAGTGACAGAAGCCAGTGACTGGCAGACACCGTTTCTCATCTTCCTCTCTGTAGTAACTAGTCCAATGTGAGTACTAGTAACTAGTAGATGTTCACCGAGCCAAGTTGACCCTACACTGAAAGACATGGCTCCCTTTATTAGATGTTTGAACAAGTGAGTGGTGCTAGAGTCATCAGCAGACCTGGTTTTGTTTTTTGGGGGGAGGGGTTTAGTCTTTGGGGCTGATTTGAATATTACAGTGACTCATGAAATGCTACTTATAGTTATAACAGCTGTTGGGGAGTATGGTGGTTTTAAATGTGAAACCACCAGGGATTCATGCCTTATTGCTGGATCTTTGTATCTTAATGGTGGTACTGGAACCAAATTTTTCATTTTATTTCAGATTCCGGTATGATTTCTCAAGTAATAATTCCTTCCCTGGCATAAAGGAGGTAGCAATTAAGTGTCTGTGGCAGGATTTATCAATACCTTATATTTTAAGTGTTTATCTGAAGTAACTACTTAGGACTGTTAACAGGCCTATAATTTATTAAGTGCCTCATTGATACCAGACCTATTAATAGTGTTTTAAATACTATCCAGCTCATCTTTTTGCAGAATTAATATGTGGTAGTCTCATTGTTTCCCGCTGAATACTTTCTGATGAACACTCAGGGGAAGCCAGATCCCCCCCCCCTCTCTCTCTGACACAGTGAGTTTTAAAGATTGCCCACAATGCTTTTCTGTCTAAGGTGCATATGTTACCTGAAGCTCTCAGTGTCTGTTTTCTTTTCTTTTTTTTTTGGAAGATGAGTTTTTCATAAAGCCAGGCCAGTCAGACCACTCAGGCTGCCAATCACTTCCCAGTGCTCCTCCTGGGAAAGGCTCTGAGAGCTTTCTTTCATCTCCAGATTTACCTGCCATGGACTGACGACGGGTGAGAGCTACATTTTCCGGGTCAGAGCAGTAAACGCAGCCGGACTCAGCGCGTATTCCCAGGACTCGGAAGCTATTGAAGTCAAAGCTGCTATAGGTAAGTCCCTCTTACGTAATGTGTCGAGGAAAATACTGACTTTTTCTAGGTTTCCATCGTGGCTGTAAATGATTTAAAGTTCCTAATTCCACTTCATGGTTCCATCATTAAATGATCATTTCCTCTGACTTCAGTTGACAACTAACCTTCCATAGCTGACGTTTTACAGATCTTCATCACTTACCCTGCGTCTACATCTGTAGTGTGTTCATCTTCACATCCCAGTTTCCTCAGACATTCCCCATTGTATGAAACACCATGCTAACTTCATGTTCATCCTGGGACCTGGTAGGCCATCCCGCTTCTGTAACGTGGTATCATTTTATACCTGAAAGCCATTTCATCTGCAACAGAGCTTGGCTTTTTTTCCTAACCGTGCGTTACCATGCCACTAAAATTCATGCCAGACACATGTGGCTGCTTAGTCTCGAATTTCATCTCTGTTTGCAAACTAACCAACAGAATAACACTATTAATAAGGTACTTATATGTATATATGTGTTGCACCTCCCAATCTTGGCTAGAGTTGAGGGAAGGGACCAGGTAGTTTAGAAAAACAAAAAATAAACTCTGTAACAGGCTAACATATGAACAGAGAGTTGATGAGTATGTGTCTCTGTAATAGCACATAGTTAGTGTGGGTAAAGCCCCGATATCACTGAGAAAAGGTGAGGCGGGTGTGATGGTGCACGCCTCTGACCACAACAACCAGGACAGCTGCAGCAGGAGAGTTACGAATTCAAGGTCATCCTGGGCTACATAGCCAGACCCCATCTCAAAATCCTAAACAGTAGAGGTACAGTAACAAAACAGATTCAGTGTCCGTTTTCTTCTTTGACGTTATTTCAAGGTAGACGGTAACAGACACGTTCTTTCATGGGTTGGGAGGTACAGTTCATTACTGCTGCACTAACAGTCACGATTCGCGGTACAGTCAGCGCCTTTAGTATCGTTCCGTGCACTTTGCAGTCCTTCCTCTATTCTGTTGAATATTAGAGCATATCTCTCAAGAATCGCCTGAGATTTGCTTTTTTTTTTTCGCCATATAAACTAAAACCCCTTGAGTTCTGAAAATAGAAACGGTTCCTGTTCTGTCTGTGTTTTGCTTTTGTTCTTGTTTCTTCTTTTCCCACAGTGTGGAGAAGTTGAAATGTTACCTGGTGCAAACTGTTAAGCCAAGACTAGTCTTTGCTTTGTGTGTAGTCCTAATGTCCCTGTTTGTTCTGTTATCCAAGAGTAACATGTGTAGGGTCTGGCTCATGTCATTTCTGTTGTTGCCTGGTGACTGTAGGGGGAGGAGTGTCTACACATGTGTGGCCTCAGCTGAGTGACGTGCCTGCTGGACTAACAGACTCCAGGGGGGGCGTGAATGAAGCCTCCCCACCATCCTCTCAGAAAGATGCTTTGCTCAGTAGCAAACCTAACAAACCTCCACCACCCAGTAGCCCTTCCAACCAGGGCCAGAAAGAAGTGAGTAAAGTAAGTGAATCAGCTCAGGAGGCGCTCAGCCCAACACCACAGAAGGCAGCTCTCAAGGAGCAAAGTAAAACTGAGGCCCCGAAAAAGAAGAAGGATCCAGTAGGTGAGAACAGCAATGCCCAGCTCTCCGTCCGTCTCCATCACTGTCCTCACCTCTCATTGTCTGGACCATGCGCTTCTTCCATGCTCGTTCCTCACTGTTGGTTCTGAATCTCATGTCTCCTTTATCCATTCAACATGCTTTCATCTCACGTGCTATCAAAGTCACCATGTGGGGCCGGCTTTTTGCATTGGTTCTTAGGCTTAGCCATGACAGAATGTTTACAGTACCTGTTGAATGGGGTCTGGGGGGGCATTAGTCAGGAAGATTTTCTACGCCTAGAGCTGAAGGTGGGAATGGCTTGATGGTCCACCAGAGTGCATGCAGCTCTCTGATGTGCTCACGCTCAGGACGTGGAAAGAAGAATATTTGGTGACGAAGTGGCAGTGAGCCGAGGTCCATTGCTCAACCTCAGGTTTTTAAGCGACCGTACATGTTTTGTTCAGCTCACCAGCTCTGGGGCAGGTGTGAAAGTTGGGTATTACGGTCGCAGAGAGCCACATTCCATACCCTTCCCAGAAGGGGCTCAGGAAGGTGGCTTATGAGAAAGCTAAGGGTGAGCTGGCTGGGTGGGAGGAGACAATGCATCATTTAAAAGTGGCGATGAATTTTAAGTGCCTTCTGTCCATTCCCAGCTTCTGCCCCACCCCTGATCTCATAACGCCTCTTCTTTTTCTTCTTCTTCTTGTTTCTGACCCTTATTTATCTATCCCATTAACTAGGAAGAAATGGGACAGTTATTTAAGGGCCGTCCTCATTATGTGCTCTGAAATAGAAGACACAGACTAGGAATGAGATAGCATCTTCAACTCTTATAATTCAAACAAATACCTGGAAAATTTTTGAAGTGCTGCAGAGCTAGATGGATTTCTTGCCATCACTATGCCTTTTCCCCCTCATTGAAAACTATCATTACGGTGGTCAAATGCAGAAAAGTCCAGCAAAGCCGCGTAAATGTACAAGGAGTTTTGAAAAATACTTTAGATATTTTTTCTAGCCTGGTGCTAGCAAATGCAGTGCTACCTACATAGCATTTCATGCTTTGTAAAACATTTTAACACCATGAATTTTAAATCACAGGAGTTAAAAAATACCGTGATAAACATGTGTTTACCAAGGACAAGTCATATGGCAGATGGAGCCTTGTTCTCTACAATATTTTTTAATTTTATTTTATTAATTACACTTTATTCACTTTGTATCCCCCCATAAGCCTCTCCCTCCTCCCCTCCCGGTCCCTTCTTCACTCATTCTTCTCCCCAAGTCCACTGATAGGGGAGGTCCTCCTCTCTTTCCTTCTGATCTTAGTCTATCAGATCACATCAGGAGTGGCTGCATTGTCATCTTCTGTGGCCTGGTAAGGCTGCTCCCCCCTCAGGAGGAGGTGATCAAAGAGCAGGCCAATCAGATTATGTCAGAGGCAGTCCCTCTTCCCATTACTATGGAACCCACCTGGACACTAAACTGCCATGTGCTACTTCTGTGCAGGGGTTCTAGGTTATCTCCATGCCTGGTACTTGGTTGGAGGATGAGTCTCTGGGAAGACCCCTGTGTTCAAATTTTCTGGTTCTGTTGCTCTCCTTGTGGGGTTCCTGTCCTCTCCAGATCTTAGCAGACTATCAAAGCAGATGCTGAGACTTACGGCCAACTGTTGGGCAGAGTGCATGGAATCTTATGTAAGAAGTAGGAAATAGTAAGATCTACAATATTTTTTAAAGGTGCATTTAACTGAGCTCCAGGATATTTTCCTGACTGGAGCAAACCCAAAACCTTTCAGGGTAAGTGTGTGTGACTATAAAACCATTTGGAACTGTATGGCAATGCTAAATAAGCAAACTGAGATGGAAACCAAGATGTGTATGCATTCTGTTGTCATCAGAGCTCAAATAATAAAGCAATAAAGGTATAGATCTTGAGAAAAAAAATTCATCTTATGGGGAAAAGATTATTTTTTTTTGAGATTTTTTTTTTCCAGACAAGTTTTTTAAAAATCTCAGTTTGATGATTTCAGTCCACCTTCTCAATGTCTTAATTTTTTCTCACATAGCAAGTCAGGTGTCACGTTTCAGCTCCATCTCACATTTTCGTTGTATATGCCATCTAGTTCCCTCGTGGGTGGCACCGGGTAAGCATGCTGAATGCATGCAGAACCACAGGTGCCCTTCTCTCTTACTCATGAGCGATTCCTATTGCAACAGCGGCGCCATCTCCACCCTACGACATCACTTGTCTTGAAAGCTTCCGGGACTCGATGGTTCTTGGATGGAAGCAGCCGGATACGGACGGAGGGGCGGAGATTACGGGCTATTATGTGAACTACCGTGAGGTGGCTGGTGGAGTGCCAGGAAAGTGGAGAGAAGCCAACATCAAGGCCGTCAGCGATGCAGCATACAAGGTAAGCGAGCGCGTGTGTCTCTGGGCGTGATGCAGCGCTTGCGTGGACACACCCAGGGCCTGTTAAATGGTGTGCATCATTTTGCCAGGGCTCACAGCAGGCATGACTTTGCGAAGCATATCCCTTGGTGGATAAGGCGAATATGGCTGCCAAGCAGGACTTGCGTGTTCTGACCCGCACGTGTAAGCGGGACTTGTTTTAGGATATTTACCACAGAATGTACATTTGCTGTGAAAACTAGTATTTTCTTTCAAAATGTATGAAACATCTCTAACTACGTTTTGCTGGCTTCAAGTGTTGCTAGATTCAGTATCTCTTTTGTTTTTTTTTTTTTTTTTATTTTTACTCTTAAAATCAGGACATGGTTTTAACCTGACTTTCTTCCTTGTGGTGTGTTCCCTGTAATGGGCTCTCATGGACAGAAAGGAGAGCATGTGTTCCTCTGTTGGGGGGTTAGGAGGGGCCCTACTGCTCCCTGAGGTTTCTCTATGATGGCACAGCTGTTGCTCCTTCTTAGAGCATCACCTGCTAGGCCCAGTTACCATGTCCCAGCACTCGCAGACACCTATCCAGTGAGAGTCCAGAGCAAGGCCAGGCCAGGAAATAGCCCACCTTGAAACCAAGGCCACACTCTTTGTGTTTAACATTTAAAACCTATGAAATACCACACAGGGACTAGCCATGCTAACACAAGACTGTTCTGTTTTCTGTCACAGGTTTTCATTAGGTGGCCCAGGCCGGCCTCAGACTGTCCCACTGCCTTGCCCTCCAAAGTACTAGTGTTGCAAGTGTGCGCCACCACACCCAGCTGCAAAGTTGCCACTTTAAGATTCTTCATACTGCTGTGTGCCGCTTTTTAAAACTACCGTATACAGTATTCCATCCTACAACTATACCATAATATGTTCTCCGTTCCCTTGTTGATTGCTGCATGGGCCATTTTATGGTTTTTAGCTACATCGAGCAATATAGCAATGAATGCATCTGCTAGTACGTAAATGCGCCAGTTTCTCTAGGCAATTACCGGGGTAGAATTGTTGAGTCTGAGCCTTGGCTGCCGTCCACTCTCCGGCACAGTGCCATCCTGCTTCCTGAAGGGAGGAGAATGCCTGCTCTGCACCCTTGCCCATAGTTGGCTATTTAAGCACTCTCCATTTTGATAACTTGGGTGTCACGTGTCCCAGAGTCTTTCCCGTGTATAGGCTTCATTTTTATACCCTCGTCCATAGCATGCCCATTCAAAGCTCCACTGTCTTCTCATGGCTTTCTTACTGACTCCTGGCAACCTTCCATGCTGTAAACACAATCAGTGATCTTGGTGCCTTTTAGAAGAAAGGTCTCCTTTATGCCAGGATCACTGAGATTCTGCACTCGGTTATGTTCTAGAAGCTTTGCAGCCTCTTATGTTATGCCAGTTCACCTCTGCAGTTTCTATGTGTTGTGAGCTGAGGCTCAAAACTGATCCCCCAACGGAGACACCTGTGCAACCTTTCCCCACAATTCATTGTATTCTCATCTGTCCTGTGCCCTGTGTTCTGTTCCACTGGTCAGTTTGTCCAACACTGAACCACTGATTCAGTTATCACAGTTTTACAGCAAATAATCACATTCTCTTATTTCACTATTTTCAGCTCTTTGCACTTTGGAATTAGGTTTCTACTAAGTTCTGCAAAGAAAAAAAAACTCAACAAAACAAAGTATAAGGAAAAACAATAAGTTAAACTTAAAACTATTAGAATTATGAGGAGGCATGCCTGGAATTTGTTAGTCAGTTGAGGACTAATTGACACATTATTGATTCTTCTAATCCATAAGCATTAGTTACATTTCTCCACTTGTTTTTGTTGGGGGCGTACTTGTGGAGGTCAGAGGACCATTCACAGAAATAAAAAAATACAAATGACATATATTGATTTTACATAAAGCTGTTTTAGTTTTTGTTAATTTAAAAATTAATTTACAAGCTCTTTGGACATTGCTCTGAAACAGTCTTACCAATCAAATGCAAACAATGTATTTACTTCTTCACATCTGAATTTTATACTTTATGTTTTATTTTCTTGTATGGCTTTCTCCCTAAGCCCCTGAATCGGAGTGGTAATGTCGTTATATAGAAATGATCCTTTGGGTTTTGTTTATTTGTGTGCGTGTTTCATTTTTTTGACGTAAGCTCTTTCTGTGTAGCCTGGGCTGACATGGAACTTGCAGCAATCCTCCTGTCTCACATACAGGAGGATGCTGAGGTTATAGGCACATGCCACTATGATCTTGTTTTTGTTTTTGTTGTTGTTTTATTTTTGAAGCACTAAGGCTGGAAGCCAGGGCCACACACATGCCAGATAAGCACTTTACACAGAACCACATACCAGCCCTTGGTCCTTATTTTGCAATAAAAAACACTCCAACACCAGAATTACATTTGCTGTAGTTAGTTTGTAGCCAGTATTACCAAATAAAGGAAAGTTTTATCATAGTCTTTGCTTGTTAAAAGTGAATTTGAATTATTTTTAAGAAATGAGTCTGAGGGGTCATACATTATTTCTCCTTTAATTTTAATGTAGTATGTTCAACTAACTGAATACAAACGATCTGTATTCCTTTCACCTTATTTATACTATTTTCATGCACACACATATGGATTTTGTTGCTAACTTTCACCTAAATATCTTGCTGCAGTGTTAATGAATGTGAGTATCCTGAGACTAGATAGAATTGATACCAATTGATGACATGCACAGCACAGGAAGGGAAAATTGTGGGGTCATCTCACCATAAAAACTGCTCGTTTAAAATGTTGCGTTATGTATTTTGAGATGGCATTATTAGATGGATACAAAGTGAGTCTTTAGTGCTAATGGTAAGTGTTGCCTTAAAGGATGTGTTCTCAATTATTGATGACAATGTACAGGTTTTTCTTTTAGTTGGTGTTTACATGGCATGTAACTTTTCATCATTTAATCTTCAACCTTTCTGAATCTTTATGCTTTTATGTGTCTTTTAGAAATATCACAAAGTTAAGTCAAATGGTATAAGCTTATCATCCTAGCACTGTAGAGCTAAAGGCAGGAGGACCAGGAATTTAAGGTCGGCCTGAGCTATATGAGACTCTGTCTCCAAAAATAAAACAAACAAACAACAGAAAAAGAAAACCGTAGAATTATGTTAGCTCTCTTGGCCTGGCAGTTTATATTTTACACCATTTAGGAATATTTAACCTTATTACAGATTCTTCAACCTAATCACCATATTACGTACTTTCTACTTGATCTTTCTGTCATGTGTATCTTTCTGTTGTCTATTGACTACTTTGGATATTTAAAACATTTGTATGTATTTATTAATTTTGTGTATTGGAGGCCCGAGGACAGCTTGCAGGAGTCAGGTCCCTTTACATCGTGGGTGTTGGGGATTGGAGTCAGGGTGTCAGGCTCAGCAGCATCTTCATGCACTGAGAGATATCGTACTGGCCTTGTGGGGCGAGTGGCCCTGTGGTGCGGCACCTTCAGACCCGCCAGTGGCATCAATAATGACACAGAGGTTTTTTAATATTTTAAAGCCTGGGCCTCTGGCTGGGCAGTCTGCAGCTAGCTTTCTAGTTTAACCCCACTAATCCTGTCACTAAGTCCCACCACATGGCTATCCTGTGGTTTTGGGTTGATTTCTTATGGGTTGCTGAACAAATGTAGAATTTGATGTCATTCAGTTGGTTTTAGCCTCACCTCAGAAACATAAACCCTTAAAATATTTTAGTCCATTTACCTTCTTTCTGGCTTGTATGATAGTGTATATTTTTGAAGTGTGTGTTTTAATATTATTAATTACTTGGGTCTTTTGTTTGTTTGTGTTTTGCCTTGTTACTTTATTGCTGCTTTTTGGAAAAGGGTCTCACACTATGTAGTCCTGACAGACCTGGAACTCTCTGTCTAGGCCAGGCAGGCCTCAAACTCACACCTCTCTGCCTCCCTAGTGCTGAGATTAAAGTTGCACAACACCAACTTTACTATTTTTTTTTAATCTTACTATTTTTTTTAAAATTTATATATATGTGTAATACTTCCTGTCTGCATATGCACTTGGGTGACCCTTAGAGGCCAAAAGAGGGCACCAGATTCCCTGGAACTGAAGTGACAGGTGGTTTGTTCCTTGGGCTACACTCAGGATGGGATTAGCAAAGAGTGTTATGGTACAGGGGGCACCCCAGGGTACAGCCAACGCAAGAAGTCAACAAACTAACTGTTCAACACCCGACCACCACAGGGTATGTTTGTAACCTAAGAGACAAGTAAGTAAAATGCTGAACAGCTTGCTTGTGGTGTCACCAATGTTACAGATTAGCAACTTGAAGGAAAACACAGTGTACCAGTTCCAAGTGTCAGCGGTGAACATCGCAGGGCTGGGGGCACCCTCCGCGGTGAGCCAGGGCTTCAAGTGTGAAGAGTGGACCATCGCTGTTCCAGGCAAGTAGGATCTGCGCCTTCCCGCCAACAACATGCACACAGCTACCTGTGCTGTCGTCTAGATGGCATTTAAGAGACAAGAACCTGCTTGCTGCGCTTATCTAAACTCTTTTAGGATAACATTAAATGGCAGGTAGCAATGTAAACTTGAAAACAGATTCCTCATGCTCCTAACTGAACTGGAACCCAGAGCTGCCGTTGCTCAGCCTCTGGAGGACTGATGCAAGGACACCATTTGAGTGTCAAGTGAGGACCTGGGAGGGCCTCCAACCTCTTCGTTTGCCTCTTAAAGGCCAATTAAGAGCACCAGGTCGTATCCCCTGGCAGGTTTATTTCCAGAAGCTGCATCCTGTACTGCTGCTCCCGCAAATGCTCTGAAGCTCACCTACCTCCTTCTGAATCACCCTCTGGAGACCCGGCCGGGGTTCTGGCTTCTCCCTGCTAGCTGCCTTCATCCCTCCCTTGTCCTAGCTCTTACATTGCCTGCCTGGGCTCATCATGCTGCACGGCAAGGGGTGTAAGCCTGACCTCTCTGTCTGCTAAGCCCTTCTCTCTGTGTGTACACACACCACACCATTCTTATTTGGTATCGATTTCCAAGACCCAAATACTCTGAATGACACAGGACTGAGGGGTGTGAAAATCAGCTTATCGAACAATTCTCGTGATGCCACCATAGGCCTCAGGCCACACAAAGGCATCCTGTTTGGACAGCTGAGCAGCCCCTTCCTGTCTGACACCTGTGCCCCTCGAGAACGACCAGGTGGCCCCCACGCAGCAAACGCCTCTCTGCTTTACTTCTGCCAAATGTGAATAAAGAGTTAGCAAAAGAAACAAGCTGTTCAAGGCTTACTCAACATCCCCAGGGACTCAGAGGCAAACGCCTGTCTTTGAGGCGGGTGTTGAAAAGTCCTGTCTGCCGCTCTCACACAGGTGGATCCGTGTCTTAAGTTCTTATAATTCTTAAAGGTAAAGTGACCAGCCACAGACTTAGCAATCATGAGTCACTGAAGCCTGTGCTAACGGCACCCTAAGAAAGCAATTAAGCCAACATAAAAGTTGTGGGGTGGGCTCAGTGAAGAAACACCCCACCGACCACCCTGATCCATCCTCGACTTAGTGAGGAGCGCTGGGAAAACAGGCATCAGAAAGCTGCTCTAGCAGCAAGAACGTTTTGCTGCCTTTTTTTTTTTTTTTTTTTTTGTGACGGTAACTGAACTGAGGTACAAGTTAAATGGCAGGTAGAAGGCCACAACAGTAGCAAGTAGCAGAGTCAGGACTTCAAGTGTGGCCTTCCTCTTCCCCGAGGGCACACAACAGAACCTAGCCCCACCTCTGGAGAGAGGGGCCGTTGCCTACTTGGAAGCCCCAGGTTTGCAGGCACTGAAGCCCTTGGCTAAGCAGGATATGCCATACTATTTGATGTGAGTACTTAAGACTGTTTCCATAGAGGATGTTGGAAAATAAGAATGGTGCATGTTTGAAATTGCTAGGCCAAGGTAAATAGTAAGGCAGACATCGGCCCATCGGTTGTGAAACGCTGAAGCATAGCATGGCAGCATCAGTGTTTGCAGTTGATGTTGAGTAGCGGTGAGTCATTTCATGGGGCTCTGGTTGGCTGGTTAGACAGAAGTTGTTATCAGAAAGAAAAATGAAAAGAAATATGTATATCACTTGAGTAGCAGCCAGTGGCCACACAAAGAGATGGGTGGTGGCGTCATAGTTTAGACCCTCTGAAATGTCAGCCATGTTCACACAGCACACATTTTAGGGCCTTTTCTTCAGAGGGTTATCGAGCTCCTTGGCTTCTGTGGACTGTCTGCTAACTGCCCCGAGTGTGATTGAAATCAGTGATGACTCCTTCACCCCCAAAAAAAAACAGCCTCGGGGATGCTTCATCAGCTCTGAGAGGCACCTGAGCGTGCCCTGACCACCTGTGCTCAGTAAGTTGCAGAGCAGCCACGGAAGCGCGCAGTGGCTACTACGTGCCTACTTTCAGGAGACTGACGGAGCTCTAAAGAGAATGCTGTCAGAGAGTCAGCTGAGATGCTCTGAGTGTGAATATTTTCATAGTGAGTCCCCTTGCACACTGACCCCGAGTGTGGCTGTGACATTCTCGCCACGAGTCTCCTCACACGCAGAATTCTGCTCTCTCCCTGCCTCAGGACCCCCACACGGCCTGCGGCTCAGCGAAGTCAGGAAGAACTCCCTGGTTCTCCAGTGGAAGGCTCCGGTCTACTCAGGCCGCACCCCCGTCACTGGCTACTTTGTGGACCTCAAGGAAGCCAGTGCCAAGGATGACCAGTGGCGAGGACTCAATGAGGCAGCCATCGAGAACAAGTACCTGAGGGTGAGAGGGTGCCCTGTGACCGAGAGCCTGCCTTTTCTCTCAGCTGGAAAACTACTAACACTGCCCTAACGTAATCACAGTCGCTTTCATATTTTGGGCTCCTGGTAAGATTCCATCCATTTGGCAGTAATTAAGAATGGGGAATATTTTTGTTGTTGTTGTTGTTTGAAACTTGAGTGACATTTCACCTGGATTCTTTAACATGGCTCTGAGAGGCATCTGCTACTCCCTCCCTCTTCCATCCCTCTTTGCTTCAACTTTACCCCTCTCACAGGTCTTGTTCCCTACAATCTCGTTGCATCTCGCGGGGGTGACTCTCATTTCTCCCCTACAGTTGTTTTCGACAGTGGCTTTTGCCGGAAGGCTCTGTTTGTCCGGAGTTGGCGCAGTACACCTGTAACCGCAGCTTCTTTGGAGCCATGCCCATCTCACTTTGCTTACGAGGGTGTGCCTGCTCTTGCATGAACACTCACAGCTTACTGGAATGAGTTCACTCAACTCCTGACCTTCACCTCACCCTTACTCCAGACTCCCTGAGTTGCTTACTGAACCCGTGCCTGACATACACACCCTGTTTGGAAATGACAGGTTCTCTCACTTATGTTCGCCGTGTTTTATGAACCGAAGAAGAATGTTTTCCCCTAGGGTGAGGACACACAGAGTGCCTGGAGACCCTAAAGACAAAGCAGGGCAAGAAATAGGATTCCATGGCTTTATTAGTGTGACTTTTCCAAAACCACTCAGAAGTTTGCAGACTGCACCCCTACCAAACAGTTCATCCCTGTGTTGGTCATTAGTGCATGCGAGGCAGGGAGTGGATTGAAGGAGACAGAGCACAATTCCTGCTGAGATTATAGGAAAAGAAAAGAAATTCAAGAGCGCATGTGCATAGGTTGTGAATTCGTCACGACGTTATCCTTGAGCCGGGGTGATGGAAGAGTGCAGGTGTTCCCTGTCACAACACGGACTAGACTCTGGAATGTGGATCTCTTCCTCGCGTATTACAGAAAGCCAACACAGTCACTCACCAGGCCTGTCAGCACGCTACCTGGGGACTGCTCGATTCTTATCACGAGAAAGCGTTTCTGTTCCTTTCTTAGCATTGTCTCTCGATGTAGAAATACATTCAACTCTTACGCACTTGGTCTGTGCCCTAGTTTAAGTTCATTTACAGATTGAACTTATTTCAGTTTTGAAATTTTTGAAGATTCATTAGCTCCATTGGGTATGGTGGCAAGCCTGTAGGTCCTAGCACTTGGAATTCGACAAGTGAGGAGGGGAGGAGTTCTAGGTCAGCCACCACTACGGAGTAAATTCCAGGCCAGCCTGGTCTACCCAAGACCTTGTTTCATAAAACAAAACAAAACAAAACAAAACAAAACAAAACAAAAAAGCAAAGTTCATTAGCTCCAGTGAGAGCTATCACTATTAATAATATTATGCCAGCACTGAAATACAATTCAATGGTTAGACTTAAAGCTTAGGAGTCAACGCATGGATGCTCTAAATTCATAGTCACAAATGTTCCCTGGTGCTGTGTGTTTTAAATCAAATTTTGAATACTGGTCTCTACCATAGCATTAGAGGACAAACTGAGTCTTCTGGGTATAGTCAATTCCTTCCTAAAACAACTCTTTAAAATTACATATTTTTAAAATAACAAGAATTTTGATAAATAATATTAACAGTGTTGGAACAATAACAGCACAGAGCCCAAACCAACTTGAAAATTTGTAAAAGATTGTTCTAAGAAACCATCTTGACTATTAAAAACTTGAGAGGGCTGGAGAAACTCTGCCATGCAGAGGCCCTGGGTTCAGGTCCTGGCGCTCACATGGCTGCTAATGACCACTTGTAACCCCAGATCCAAGGGCTCTGATGCTCCCTTCTGGCCTCCACAGGCAAGGGTGTAGTTTATAAACATACCTGCAGGCAAAATACTGATACATTTAAGAATTTAAGAGCTAAGAAACAAAAAAGCCGTTGGGGGTGTGAGCCTGACACTTTGCCAAGCTCAGTAAGTAGCAGCGCTTGCTGCAGAGCCCAACGACCTGGATTTGACCCCCAGACCCGGCATGGTAAAAGGAGAGGGCTGACCCTCACAGCTTGTCCTCAGCACGCCCCCTACCCCTGCCTCGCTGTGTACAGACAATAAGAAGTCATTTCAAAAACCAAGGGTGTAGAATATTTTTAGTTATTTTTGTTAACATGCAAAGTGATATGTTTCACTGTAACGTTTCAAAGCACAGCCTTTGTTCTTATTGCCTCCTCCTGATCCAGTGGATTTCTCTCCCCACACACTACTGCTGGCCTCCTTGGTCTTTCTGAGAAGTCCCCCCTCTGCTTTTATAGCATAGAAAGTCCATTCACCTCTCCTCCCCCGCCCCTTCTTTTTCCCTTTAGGCTGCTACCTCAACTTCCACGCTTCCTCTTCTGCTTTTATGTCCTCCATCTATAAACATTTAAATCTATATTCCATGCATGAGATGAAGCAAGGTCTTTCACTTTCGGAGACTCGCATTTTCCACTTAACATAGTGATCTGCAGTTCCTGCAAATGTAATTTCATAAGCGAATAGCTTCTTTACAGCTAAATAAAATTCCATTGTGCAAATGTATCACATCTTCTTTGTCAATTCAACTGTTGATGGATATCTGGGCTGGTTCTGTGAGGGTGTAGAATTTTAATACACTTTGATTATTTAAAAGCTCTTTGAATTCACAATTATATTAGTATCCTGTCTGTTTAGTGATAAACAGGCGATAGATTAAGAGCCGCTGTGTGGGTGCTGAGACTTGAACTAGGGTCCTCTGAAAGAGCAGCCCAGTGCTGTTTGTTAACCACCTCTCCAGCACCTGTAATGTACTGTGGAGCAAAAAAACCAAATGTCTTCTTGCCAAGGGACGCGCTGAGAGGTGTGTAATGTAAATGCTATTTTGAACACTTTGTATTTTACCTTTTTGAGCAAAGACTAAAGCAGCTAATTCATTCAAAGTGTGCATGCATTTCAGAAACACATAACATGCTTCTGAATTCGGGAGTGTTTAAATTACATGTGTGAGAGAGAGTGGGAATGATAGGGTTGGAAGGGATTTTAGCAACTCCATTTTAACAGTGACAGCTGGTCCACAGAGAAGGTGGACCAGAGTCAAAGCCACCTAGAACACAAACCCTGTTTGCTTGGAGTTGTGTGATTACTGATTCCTATAGAGCAAGAACACGCTCGCTTATGTGGCATAAGATGCTCATTATTTCTAAACCTGCTTGCTCCAGGTGCAAGGCCTCAAAGAGGGTGAGAGCTACGTGTTCCGTGTCCGTGCCATCAACCAGGCCGGTGTTGGAAAGCCTTCTGACCTTGCTGGTCCTGTTGTGGCAGAAACACGTCCGGGTGAGTCCTTTGCATCTTCACTGATATTCATCTCCGCCTTGGGTGTCACTCAGACACGGAACAGTCAAGCATCATGCACAGGACCAGGGTTTACTCCAAGGACCAGAGGGGGAAAAAGATCTTTCCTGTACAAGTTCAATACTGAAGCCACATTTAGCCTTCCTCTTGTCATTCTTAGTAAGAGCCATCCAAGCTGCCAATAACTAAACCCTTAGCATGAGACAGCCATTTCACAGGAACCCCAGGACTTGGATTAGCGAGGTCAGAGGTAGTCTAAGAGCTACAGGGGTTAATGTCGAACCACTGGGTACTCTGAACCAGCTTAAGTTGTTCCCATTGTGCCTGGACTGTAGCCCAGATACTTTCCAATCACAGAGGGAGCTGGACTAGCTCAGGGAGAGGACACACCCCTTACAGAGATGTAGAATATAGAGAATTTTAGCTCTAAAGTTAAAGCAGAGGTCAGCATACTTTCTGTCAAGAGCAAGGTAGTATTTTCAGCTTTAGAGCTGTGTGGTCCTTGTCATCGCTCCTTGGCCTGCCTGGGCATGAGGACGCCACAGACAAGTCCATGAGCAAGTGCAGCTGTGCTCTGATAATATCAGGCATTCTGTACATTATGTAAATAATAACATGCATGCTGCAAACTATAAAATATGAATTCTACATTGTATTCCCATACCTTGAAATAGGAATCTTCTGTTGGTGGTTTTTTTTTTTTTTTTTTTTTTTTTTTTTTTCTTTTACGGTTTTTTTGTTTGTTTTGAGACAAGATCTTAAGGCTGGCCTGGAACTTGCTATGTAGATTAAACTGACTTCAAACTCGGAGATATGCCTGCCTCTGCCTCCCAAGTGCTGGGGCTAAAGTTGTGTGGCATGTTTTCTGACCTTTAAAAAAAAAAAAACTGGCTAAAGTATGAAAATCATCACTGCTTTGTGGCATTACACAAAGAGGCAACCGCCAGATTTAGCCCAGCCACCAGGGTGTGCTGACCCATGAGTTAAACTAACAATGGTCCTGTGTGCGTGGCTGGCTGAGCAGAAGCACCCTCTCTGCCAGGTTCAAGGGAGCCATGATGGGCCCACAGGTGTGCTTTGAAAACAAAGCTTTTGGTGCCCATTGCTCAGTTAGTTCCTAACCACTACACAATGATGATGATGATGATGATGATGATGATGATGATGATGATGATGATTTCCTGTTCAATTTGTTCTGTTTTAAAAGTCTTATTTCTGTTCACAGAAGTTTCATAAAACAAAGCACCAGCACCAGTAAAAGGGTAAAAATTATTATCCAGTAACTTTTTTGTTTTGGACATTCTAGTGTAAGGTTTTTCACTTTAGTGTGCCCCTATTTTCAGAAATAAAATGGATAAGGGGTAGACACAGACTGCCACAATTATTTTCCTGATAAGAAAAACGCAAACAGAGGAAGCTCCTGTTTCTTGGAGCCCCTGTTATTGAAAAATACAAACAGTGCACTCTCTGAGGCACAGTTTGCATACCGCATCCCATTTCTTCAGGACGGTTTTTATCCACTCCTGAACCAGCTGGTAGGTATGTGGTTGACAAAAGCCATCTTCACAGAGTGAGGTGGGGTATACTATGCTTCAAAGTAACCGTGGCCAAATTCCAAAGAAAGAAGAAAAATGCTAGAAATAGACACACGAAGACACGAGGACATGTATACACATACATGCGTCTTAGAGCCTTCACATCCCTCAGTTATCAACTGTGTGAATATCAGTGGTGCCTAGTACACACTTAGACAGGGCCATGCGCAATATCTACCTCAGGGAGTGTTTTGATGAGTGTACAGGGGAACGCTCCATCTCGTGGATCAAAAGCACCTGTTAAGCTGTAGGTTACAATTTGATTAAAGAACGCTCAAACCGTCCTTTGTTCTCAACCTTCAGAATGGCAGGTCACCAGGTATGGTGTTAGCATAACCGTCACTGGGGGTTTGGCTGTTGCTTTCCTTGGTGAGAGTTTTGTGTTACTGCGTTGGAAACAGGCACCAAGAGTCTCATCTATGGCCATTCCGTTCTTGAAATATAATTCTAGTCAACAGCTGCAGACATGAATACGCTCAGCTGCTCACAGCTTAGGAAAGACTCCTCGGACACACAGAGTCTTGGGATATTTGGTTTTGGGCTCCCAGGCTCCCAGGGCCTGGGTGTGCCCTGGGAGCAGTGTGCTTCTGCGTAGGCTACAACCATGTAAGAACAACGTCATTTGCAGCTTGGTACAGTGAGAGCTATGACGGCCTTTCATATGACTCGCCACAGTCAAATGGGCTAGAAACTAGGATTTGAGGTTTTGTGAGCTGCTGGCTAGCAAAACTTTAACGTCAAGGAAAACTGACTATCTTTATTGCTTTTCTGAGTTTAAGTGTATTGTTTTTCCCACTTTATATTAGAACAAGTAGAAGGAAAGATGGGAGAAATGTCATCAATTTCTAGATTTTGGATGTAAAACTTGCAGCCTTAGTTCAGAAAATACTCTGGTTTCTCTTTAGATCATAGAAATCCTTTGCCCTTTTTTTTTTTTTTTATTTAAGGAGGATGCCTTCACTTATGGTACATTATTAAGTTCTTAAGTAGAAAATAAAGCTTATCACGTAACCGCACACCGCAAATACACCTGACAAGCTACTCCGGGGGTGATTGGATTTCAGCTAAAATTTCACTTAATCCACTGCAGTCAGTAGGATCAGTGCCTCCCTTTGAAGTCAGAGAAGCTCCAGGAGGCGTTGCCCAGCCACTGCAAAAAGTCCAATTGTGTTGGTAATGAGAAGCCAGACAACAGAACAAGTGTGCCTATGGTGACTCCCCGAGACAGCTGTTAGCTAAAGGAACCTACAGACAGAAAAGGTTAGAACTCTTCCGTGTAGATTTGTTGGTGCCTAAAAAGGCTTTTCCCCCCTTGATGTTTGATACTTTTAAACCCTATCTGCTGTTGATTGCATCGCACCAACGATGGAGACGGAGGCCAGGTGAGCTAGATCAGATATGAGACAAGAGACACCTGGCCTGGCAGGTGATCCGGAGGTCAACCAGTTGGCAGTGCAACTTATAGACATTCTTGTTAGAGAAACAGAGCAGCAGGCAGAAAAATCAGCTGACGGGTAGGAGAACCCAGACACCAAGCAGGGCCTCAAGTGGGAGCTGGGCATAGAGCTTCCCCAGAGAAAAATGAGTTGGGATTCAGCTAATAGCCAAGTGCTTCTTGCAGTCCTAGTGTCTAAAACTTGGTTGACCCAGGATGTGGTAAGACCCTGAGAAGGCAAATGTGGGCAGGGATCCTCACAGTGGAGACTTACGGGATTCTGAGGCAGGGGGCTGGCTGATCCTCTGAAAGATGAGCTCTACTGGCTTTTCTACCTGCTCCCCAACTGTCCCTTTGACTCAGCGTACCAGTTCTCACTGGTGGCAACTATCTGACACAAACATCAAAGGAGAAGAGATCATTTACCTCACGATTTGAGAACTTTTAGCCCATTGTAGCAAGGAGGACCATGATGGAGCAGCTGATATCATAACAGACAGAAAGCAGAGGGCATGGAAGAGATTCAGTGACATACACCCTCAGCCTAAGGTCTCTGGACTCCCCAGAGTAGTACCATGAGTATCACCACAACCAACGTCACCACGTGAGCCTATGAGGAAACAACTGCCATGTTTTGAGCAGTGTGGCCTTCCTTCCTTTATCCTAGGCATCTTGTAATTCCTGTGTGGTTGAAAATGATGAGCTGGCAAAGGCGGGTCCAGTGGAGGCCACTAGGTGGGCACCGAGATGATAGGTCATTCGAGTGTGATTAAATACAAGAGCTCAGTGATATGTGTGTCTGATCACAGTAGCTCACCTCTGTTTAGGCTATCGGTTCCTCTTTTGAGTAAAAAAAAAACAAAACAAAACCATTCTTATCATATTTGTGCACATATACACATCAGCGTATTGTATTGCTCATATAAAAGACAAAATGAAAGTTTTATCTTGTTATGAGATGGGGAAGTAAACATGTCACCAAGATTTAACCTTTTAAGTTATTTATCTACTTATTATTATTATTATTATTTTAGAAAAGAGAAAAGTGTGGTAGAATTAGTTAATTTTCAAGTAGTTTGTGTTCTCCCTGATCATTTTCTTAGACCATTCTCAGCCTGGGGATTCCCAGGGTCTGGAGGAGCATTACAATACCACTGGTGAGACCACATGTCCCTGTATCTACGTTAAAATTTTGTAGGCTGAGGAGCTGACTAGGAACAGCTTTGCTTGTTCTTAAAGATTTATTTTTAACTGTGTGTGTGTGCATTGAGAGACAGACAGAGAGAGAGGGAGAAAGGGAAAGAGGGAGGGAGGGGAATAAGAGAGGAAGGGAGGGAGGGAGGCAGGATGTGAGCACACGAGCGAGCACAGGTGTCTGTGAAGTCTAGACAAGGTATTGAATCTCCTGGAACTGGAGTTACAGTTGTGAGATGCCTGTTGTGGGTGCTGGGAACCGAACTCAGGTCGCCTGCAGGAGTAGAACAAACATTCATAGTCACTGAGCCATCCCTGAAGCCTCAGGACAATGTTTAAAACCTTGACAGGTCAAAATAATCCTTTCTCTCCACCCAAATCTCCTGGTGTGCCAAGTAAATGTCCATGTTCTTAAACAGAATCAAAAGTTGTTTCTGGAAAGCCCTGTGTCACTGTGAACTTTGGTTCCCTTTCCTAACCCAGCTTCATGGGGAAGTGGGTTGCCCTTTTCCCTAGATGAAAGGACTCTCGGGGAGTCCTTTCTTTTGACAGAACAACAGACTTAGATCCCGCTTCAGATTTTAAGTGTAAAAGAAGGAGGGCCGTGCCTTTCTTTTGCTGCCTGTTTATTAGAATATTGGTGTCATGCATAAGCTTAAATACATGTTCCAATAAAATACACATTACAATTTTCAACTATGTTATCTTAAAGTTGGTGTTTTGGTCCACTCCTTGGAACATGTAACTATGTATAGAAAATATGAAAGGCGAAGTTTCTGCCTATACAGAATTTAACCCCATTCTCAATAAATTAAAGAATTGGGGCAATCTTTTGGAAAATGAAAATGAAACTAAATAGTTGTCTTAATAAGCTTTTGTTTTTAAACCTTAGGACCTAAATAGTTCTGAGTGTTTTTATTTCTTCTTTTTATCATCCATTTATCTATTTATTATTTATTTATTTTTGTTTTTTGGGACGGGGTTTCTCTGTGTAGCCTTGGCTATCCTCGACTCACTTTGTAGAACAGGCTGGCCTTGAACTCATAGCAATCCCTCTGTCCCTACCTCCCCAGTGCTGGGAATAAAGGAACATGCTACCATGCCCTGGCTTTATTGTCCATTTGTTGAAATAAATTAACTACCAGCATCTATCACAGATTCAATTAAATTTGTACAAGTTGAAGAAATGTTCACAGTGCTCTTTTCTACTTTCTACAATGTTAACCATGTGGCAGTCGTCCATAATTGATCAAGAAAAGCTTCACACAGGAGAAAAATGCTAGCTGAATCAGCAACTAATCTCTACATCACTGTCTGCCCTAGGAACTACTTATTTTTAAATTAAATTTGGGCCTGCAGCAAAGAATCACTATGTTCTTTCCCAAAGGTACAAAATGTAACATTTCTTGGGTTAGAGCTCAGTTGTAAGGTGATGAGGTTAGACTCACACACAGGTTGAGGAAAACGGAACACATCACTTGAGGTTTAAAACAGGATATTTGAAAGGAAATATAAAATGGGAAAAAGCATCTTTTTAACTTCACCTCTTTTTGACGATCACCAGTTACATTAAAAACTTCATTTCTGCAGTACTTCCGTGAACTAGTTCTGTCTTCTCTCAACACTTTTGAGGCAGCTGAAGATCACCTAAGCAGGGCCATTCTATCCTGAGACCTATTTGCATTTGGAACCAAACCTGGCCATTAAACTGGGCCTGAAATTGATCCTCAGCACCACAGCATCAGTGAATAAGTAAATAAAGTTTGGTTTTAAGTATCCAACTGTTCTACTTATCTGAGAGTTCACTGCTACATCATCAACCCTTTGATTTTCATTTTGAGACTCTATGAAATTCTGTCTGAAAAGATTGTATGTTCCAGTAAAAACTTGGTGATGCAACATTCTAAACCTCATTTACCTCTGTGTACGGCTTGGAGCCATAACTGCCAGCCTTATATTTGTGGCACAGGGTTGCCATCTGGCGATACCTTTACTGGTGAGAAGAATTTGTTTGTTTTTTCTATCTTCTTTCTGTTCTTAAACTGCTTACCAGTAGTGGTTTCTTCGCTATGGATTAAGCGTAATCAGCTAAGGAGGTAACCAGTTAGGTTTGTAGACCGGCCATGGGTGAAGTACAAATATATTCCATGTGACTGTAATTCCCCAGTACGGGCAGGACCCTCAAGAGTGGACTTTGGCACATGAGCCAGGGCTCTTACAGAGCTGTGGCTTGATTTCTTGTCTTGGGGCCAGGTTCCAAGTGGGTGAAGCTCTACAGCACAAAGGTTGTTGACTGAACAGAGAGAAAGGTGAAGCAAGTGGAACTGCTCAGATGCCTTCAGTTTTGTGGTTTCTTTGCATAATAGTCTAGTCTTCAGCTTTAGGGGGGAAATTAAGCTTTCTAGCCCAAACAATACATACCTTTTTTAAAACTTAAGTCATGTCTTTACTATAATAAGCAGCAAGCAGGGTGATTCATTCTCGGGAAAAGGATTGCAGGTGAGGGAGTGATTAACATGAATAAGTGGTGAAGTTATTCATGTGAATGCTCATGAAGCAGAAACTAAGGGAAGAGTGAAAGAGATTTCGTCAACACCCATCACTTCTGTCTCCTCACAGTAACACAGACATACAAACACGCTGAGTGTATACTCCCACAGTGACCTTCTGGGCCCAAACATTCTTCCACACCAGCCGTTTCCTGCTTTCCAGCCAGCACGTTGGTACAGTACTTTTTAACAGTGGGATGTGAGCATTAGTTGTGTGTGCTGTCAGGAACAGAATAAGGCGGTGCCTGCAACTTCACAAGGACCACTCGGCAGATGCCTCGCTTAAAGGAGAGTTAATTGTTATTTTAGGTTACTAGTGAGTCAAGTACGACGATAGCCACTTAAAATGGGACTTAAAATCTGCTAGAACCAGTGTGCTCTGTGCTCTTCACATGTGTTAGCAGTCAAGTTTTGGATGTATATGTAGACTGTAGACGAGGAAGTGAAAGCTTGCATTGTCATCAGGAAGGACACAAATCGTATCAACGATCAGGATCAGGATTCAATACCCTCTGTTACTCATTGTCTGGGCTCAGTTTCCTCCTGAACATCACCTAGCAGGACTTCGCCACTCCCCAGCCCCATGGATGGTTATGCTGGACAGCGCCCAGGATGATGGACTTTAATGCGCCTATCTAGAGATAAAATAACATTTCCCTAGGAAACAACTATAGGGAGGTTTTCTAATGCCTTGAGAAATAATAAAAGTATACCATTCTGAACCTAGATGTAATTTTCCTGATGTATTAAAACAAGCCAAGTTTAGGCTGATGATTGAATTTGCATAAATTGAGTGCATTTTGCTTCTTTCAAACTGGATCTGGCAATAGGTGTGCTGCTGTACAAACTTAAAATTGCTATATTTGACGCCAGTGTACTTTGTTCTAGGTCCCCCAAATAAAGTAACCCCAAAGTATTTTCTTTTAAGATCCAGAAACCAATCTTCTTGGAACACATTGGATCTTTTGAAATTTATCTCCACTGAAATTTTCCTATAGCTCAATAGTAATCTTTTCTAGTTTTATCATTTCTAATCTAGGGAGACATCTTCAAATTGATAAGGTTATGGAGAGGGAAGAGAAAGTTCCTGTATAGTCTTCCTGTGAAAATGACTTACAACTTTGAGTCAGAGAATATAGGCAATGCTAATTCTTTCCAGTTTCTCTTGGAAAGTTCTCTTCAGTTTATTTATGTCTATCCTTTTCTGGTGACCTTGTAGATACAGGATTAATTGAAGCAAAAGTTATGAATCCCCTTTTCCTTTGCCCAAGACCTCATTGTCTACAATGACAATCAAGTCCGTTCCCTGTGGCATTCATTTCACTCAATTTTTCCTCAGTTCTGGGCAGACAAAATTGGTGTTGACTCTACAGTTTGGAAGCTGAATTGCAGAGAATCCCTGGCCCTGGCTCAGTGCCTTGCTCTAAGGCTAAATAAAGGAAGACATCTCAACACAAGAATTCTTACTTGGCTTGTCACAAGTTCCAACTGCCTTCTTTATGATCTTCTAGGTACCAAAGAAGTCGTCGTAAATGTGGATGATGACGGAGTCATTTCCTTGAACTTTGAATGCGATCAGATGACTCCCAAGTCAGAATTTGTCTGGTCCAAAGATTATGTGCCTACTGAAGACTCTCCACGAGTAGAAGTTGAAAGCAAAGGCAACAAGTAAGGAATATCTCTATCCTAACAACATTTCATTTTCACTGCAGGGACACAAAATAAGCCCCTTGTCCCCTGCTTAACCTCCTTGGAATAAGAAGATGAAGTCATAACTATTTTACATCTGGCATTATTAAAATCCATAACCAGTATAGCCTTAAAATAATCCTTCAAATGCACAGTTCTTGGAATAGAACACATTTGGTTAACGGAAAAAACAATCCAACTATAAACTTTTTTTCATGGGTTTGTTCACCTAACATTTAAATGTTTGGTTGATCTTAGATGATACCATGACTGGTAACAGAGTGTTCCAAAATGAGAAAACACAACGGACTAGGGTATTGATCTGTTCATTAACTCACATCTGTGATCCAAACAAAGAACTGCCAAGGATGCCACAGAGAGCAACGCAGAAGCCTATCTCTGAAGGCACAGGCACTCCAGGGGGATAATTGCAGTTCACCACCAGCTCTGAGAAGAGAAGTACACAGATGGCATAGAGACACCAGAGCCCCCTGCAGTATAGGAATATATTTGCCCTAGAGGAGAAAAATTTAGACTCAGTGTTAGCGCTGCAAGGGCTATTCAGAAAAATGTCTTTTCATAGGATGTGCATTATATATGCAGCATAGTTTGGAGATGGGGTATTCATACCTGTGCCTCCATCATCCTTCAAGAGGTCAAGAAAGGCTTCCTAGCAGAAATGACATTCAACCCAAGACTCCAAGGGCCAGCAAGCCTTAGCTCAGTGGGGCGGGCAGGGACATGACATGTGTTCTACATGAAGGGAGTCTCACATACAGGAGACCAGAAACAGAGGGGCAGACCCGCAGGCCACGCACAGTCTCACTCCTGAGGAAAATATTGTGTTTTGAAGGACAAAAATGACCTTCAAAGACCTCGGGGCAGATGACTTGGGCACCTACTCCTGTGACGTAACAGACACCGATGGGATAGCTTCAAGCTACTTGATAGATGAGGAAGGTGAGTTAAAGTCCGTTCACCCCAAGTCTGACGCTGCTCCAACTCCCACTCAATCAAGTGACCTGTGCATTAGTAGGTAAAGGCTTACCTTTTGTTTTTCTGTACAGAAATGAAACGCCTGCTTGCCCTCAGCCAGGAGCACAAGTTCCCGAGTAAGTACCTCTGCCCAGTCACAGATTTTAGCGGTTTTACCTGGGTTCCACTTCTGTAACAGAACAAATAACAGCTCAGAGGGGATTAAGGAGAGGAGTTTAAAGCCTGGCTGATGGCACGTTTCTTGTAATCTTCATTACTTTGGAGGCAGAGAAAGGCCAGTTCAAATCCTGCCCAGGCTACGGAGCTCAAGGACAGACTAAAAAACTTAATAAGACCCTATCTTGACCTAAATTGTTTTAAAAAGAGCTAGGAATAGACGCAGGGGAACCCTGAATTCATGGTCTGGAGGGGGACATGGTGAAACCTGTCAAAGGGAAGAAAGGAGGAAGCAAGGAGGCATGGCAGGAGGGAGGAAAGAAAGAGGAAGATGAGGAGAGGCTTTAGGATATACTTCACAAAGCAGGAGCCACAGAAGCACTTTCTAGAAATGACACTTCCCGTTGCCATTTTTCTCCAGAAATGACAAGGCACTAACAGAAAAGTATTCCATAGGGCTGTGGTTGGCAGAAAGTTTTTATAGCAGGACAGATTCCTGGATCTGATCCCCAGTACCTGCCTGTTATCCCAGCACTTGAGACCAGAAGTTCAAGGCCATCTCGGGCCATATAGCAAAATATGAAGTTAGAGGCCAGCCTGGTCCACCGGGGACCCTGTCTGAAGAGAAAGCAAACAAACGAGAACAAGAGAAGGGGGCCAAGAGGAAAGAGAAAGGAAAGGAAATAGAAAGGGGGACACTCTTGCCTCATTCCTCAGGGCAGTGTGTGCATTTGTATGTGTAATACGAGGAGATACGCTCTTCAGCTTCTGACCCTTGCATTTGGGGATCACATTGGTATCTTCTAAACACTGTCACTTACATGTCGTAGGCCAGTCTGTAATGTTGGCATGTAACAGAAGACTCAAAGCTCTAAACAGAAGCAGTGTGAAGACGATGTATTACACTCTTGTACTCTTGGAAAATAGGGTGAAGGCCTCACTCTGAAGAAGAGCCCTTCTGAACTATTTAGCAGCCCTCAGACAAAGCACCTTCCGTATAAAAGATTAAACTCCACGGCTGATACCTAGGAGGAGAGAAAGAAGCCTGAAATAACATGCCAAAGGCTCCACTGGCCTGAAAGGATCTGTTACTCACTGGGCAAATACACCTCCAGGGAAGCACACTGCAGGGTTTGAGAAAGCAGATGAGGATGTGGTAAAATGCCCGCCCCCTTTTAAATTAAGATCTAAAAGATCCCTCAGTTCCCAAACATGTGTTTTCTTCCTTTGTGACTACGAAGTTTCCGGAGCTCCCAGCCCATGGCATTAATTTCATCTGTGTGCTTATTCACCATGAAACCGGAAAATATTATTGTGGATGACCAAGTTAATTTTGAAAACTATATGGAAGGTGGAGGCCTCCCCCGGCAGTCTTTGCTCTGTGACCCTGAGTGAATCATTTTCATGTCCCTGGGCTTTGGTTGCTGTTTCTAGGGTTGGCAATTGTGACAATTCTTCTGCCCTCACAAGAAGCTGTCTCTAAGGCACTTGTTTGCTTCCTCCACCGAAGCCCAGTAGAAATGGAAAGAAGCGGTAATCCAGTTAGGAAACACTCATGTCTCCAGGCAACAGCTTCTCCGGCAACATTTACATTTAGGTTAAAAGATTCTGCTGGGAGAAGTCAAGGCAGTGTGTCGCTGCCAAGTTCACGTGGCCCGGGCCTCCAGGGTTCCAGGATCACATGACTCAGAGATGGTACAGTTAAGGAAGCCATGACCGACTCATGTTGTTGTCACTGACACTGAGACGTTTAATCTTGCTCAGGCCTAAGGACTGTAATCCTTGGTGCTTGGAGACAGCAAACTCAAGGCTTTCTTATCAGAGACCAGCTGTGGCAACGAGGTTGGCATGAAGGGAGAGCCCAAGGGCATGCGTTAGACTCAGTATGAAGATCACATCCCCAGCCCCCAATCCAGTGAAATTTTATTTAGACCCTTGAAACAGCACTTCAAATAGGACAGTTCCAGTATTGTCCCCTCCCCACTACAGTGATGAGGTCACTAAGGGAACATTTCAGAGAGCTTCCAACAGGGTGAAAGCAGCATATCTAATTTCCTTACACCCACTTCCTCTTGGTCGAAAAAGACAGTAAGTCATTTTCTTGAGATTTATAAGGTTTTAAATGTCTCATTTCTCGTTGAATGTAAACTTTAGAAATTCTATTCCTTTATTCCTAAACATAGTAAATTCACCCCTGTAAAGCCATTTTCAAAAATATTTTGAAAGACAATGAACATATGCCTTCTATCTACAAATAGTATGTTTTGCTAGGACAAATAAATTGCCAGAGAAGGTAATTTGGATCTGAGAGAAGGAAAAGATTAAAAAAAAAAAAAAAAAGCATAGGAGTAATGACTGAAAATAATACAGCCTGCTTTGCCATTACTAATGCTAAATTTGCAGAGTGGCGGCTCAGCTTGTCTGCGGGTAGAAGACGCAGCATCCTCAGCGTCCTGCACCAATAAAGGCTCTTCATTTGCAGACACTCCCTATTTCCCCGCTACCAAATAATGCACACACATGAGCACATATCCATAAACATATAGTGCCCTGTGCCCCTAGTTTTTAACACATTCTCTGTTATAATTATAGGATATTGTCAAAGCAGCTGGAGGAAAAAGAAACAGATACCAAAACATGAATGGCCAGCATTTATAGAGCGTTTACTGTATGCCAGGCCTTCCCTCGGGCCTTTAGATGGAATGTTGTCATTTGAACACACACTGACCCAGAAAGGGTCTGTGCTGTGGTGGTTTGGATTTTAGAGGTTACGAACATGAGGCCAGGGAGCTAATAAAGAGACCAGTTGCACGCAGATGGTGGAGAGAAGGGGCCTTCTCTAAGGCTGGTCCCACAGCTATGCCATAGTCTTTGCCATAGTCTTTCTCTGCAGGCACATGCTACGCCTGCTCAGTTCCCTCAGTGGCAATGTGCGCTCATCTGTGTTTCTCTAGACAATGTCTTGTGACTTGGGGCAGATAGCATCAAAGGCTTCCAAGAAGGCCCGTCCCTTCCTTTGTATTACCACCTCAGTTCATATCACCCGTCTATTCTGAATTCCACGATGGGATCTCCAGGCTTTTCTCAGAGATCCTGTCTATTCTCAAGACTTGTCTGTTGCAAGGGTTAGCCTCTGGTCTTGGGACCTGTCTTCATCTGCTCTGCTCAGACATTCATTCACACTGGAAAACCACAGTGCTCATCAGAGCATTGGAACTGGGACCAAGAACGGCGCAAGAGCTGTGGGCTTAGCTCAGATGTCATGACTCTTATCACTCAGCTTTCTCATCAGTAAATGCGGTGGAGGGCAGAGAACTCACCTTCCAATTGCTGATCGTCATCCACAGTATGTTAATGTGTCCTGTGGTGCCATAGTTAATTGCCTGTTAGCAGAGTAAGGCGGGCACACAACACCCATGTTGACAGGTGAGAGCCATGAGGCTGAAGGAGGGCAGCAACCGATGAGGTCATGTTTCCACTCCAGAGCCCGTCTTCTGTCCCCCCCCAAATGTATCTGCAACCCCTCAGCACAGAACACCCAAGAGTCCAATTCTGAAGCAGAACAAATCTGTAATTGATTTTATGGAGTGGACGGGGAGACGAAAAGAAAGGCATCCCTGACACTTGACTGTGGAATAGTTTTGTGTTGTTTTGTTTTCTAGCAGATTTGGGGGCCAGACAGTGGCCATTGTGGGTCATTTGAGGACTTTTCTCACTTTACCTTGTGACTGGCCCTGAATAACCTTGACTAACGCTGCAGCAGGGAAACACAGAGGTAAACTGGAAGTGCCCCTATCTACAACTTCATCTTCCTTGTTTGGACAACAGAGACAACTGTGATTCAAAAGGGTGTGAGCCGAGCCTCTCCATCCCTCATGCTGAGGTCACCCTATCACGTGCCTATTGTCTCCGGGTCTTGTAGAAGCAAGGGCTTATGTTGCTCTTGGGATTGGCTATTGTTTTCACTTGCAGGAATGTCTGTATCAATATTGTTGTTACCCAGAATGCTGACTTACTCTGTCTATTTTTATTCTTCCTAGCTGTCCCAACTAAGTCAGAGTTGGCCGTCGAAATTTTGGAGAAAGGTCAGGTGCGGTTCTGGATGCAGGCTGAGAAGCTGTCTGGCAATGCCAAAGTCAACTACATCTTTAACGAGAAGGAAATTTTTGAAGGGGAGGTAGGCTTTACGTTTGTTGTTTTCAATCAAAAATATGTATTTTTAATGTTTTATTTTTATTTAATTTTTAAGAATTTCATCCACTCTGTGTGTGTGTGTGTGTGTGTGTATGTGTGTATACACACAAATTTCTATTCTTCTACCCCACTCAACTTTTCCCATGTCCTCCTACTCCCTTCCAAGTTCAAGACCTTTCCATACAACCTGCTGGTTCATCTAACGTGGCTTGTATGTATCTGTGTTTAGGGAGGACACCTGGGGTTGGATATCAGGGTGCACGGCCTAGGGAGAGACTGACTCTTCCTCTCCTGGCAGCCATTAAATGTCCGCAGCTCTCATTTAGGGGTGAGGCATTGTGAGGTTCCCCCATCTGCTTTGGTGTGTCAAGTGCGAAGGTCATGTTTAAGTGACCAGAGGTGGCCATATTGTTGAGATTTCACACTCTTCATCATCAATTCCTGGGCAAGTCATATACCCACATAGTAGGTTCCTTTTCCCAGGAACAGGATTTTTAAACAACTTGCTTAGTTGTCTAGAAATATTAAAATTCCAATTCTTCCGGGTTTGCTTTTATTTTATCGGGGTTATTGTCTCCAAAGCAAAATGTTTTCCTCGCTGATTTCTCTCCTGTTTTTCTCTCCTCACACTGAAGAAATACAAGATGCATGTGGACCGGAACACGGGTGTGATTGAAATGTTCATGGAAAAGCTGCAGGATGAGGATGAGGGCACGTACACATTCCAGATTCAGGACGGAAAGGCGACTGGCCATTCCACGCTTGTCCTCATTGGAGACGGTAGGAGTTCCGAGGGACAGGGCAGTGGGACACTTGGCTACCTACCTCTGCGCAGACACCAGGGCATAAGAGAGGCCCTTGACTCATGGCTGGAACTGTTTATTGAATTCATGCATGAAATTTCAAATCCAGTCAACACTTCCCATAGTGCTCTATTGCCTAAAAATGAACACAACTTTTTGTTCATTTTTGTTCAAAGAACAGCAGAACCATCGCTGGCTTTCAGGCATGGCCGGGCTTACATAGTTTTATATGTGAACAAGTAGGTACTACTAAATTCGCCAACCTCGGATGTCTCAGGGCAGTCAGAACTAACTGTATGTGGGTCTCAGTAACAAACCATGACACTATTTTAACTCTATGGTAATTACCCTAACTTATTAAACTTTGGAGAGAAAAAAAATGTAAAAGTGCCGTATGTGTGCCGAACCTGCCAGTCATATATTGGAACTACAGTGTAGAGGTCTGTGGAAGCCATCATGGTTTAAAATGTGGCACTTCACAAGCTCGGAAAAGTCTACCAGATGTGTGTCCGTAACGGCCAGTGTGGTTTCACCATTTCCTAGCTTTACGGCCTTGGAAAAGCTATTTAGTGCAGGGCCTTGGGAGATGGTTTGTCAGCAAGGAGCCAGCACTGCAGACAGCAAGACCTGAGTTCAGGTCCCCAGTGTCCACATACAAAGCCCAGCACAGCAGCACATGCTGATCCCAGTGCGGGAATGCAAAGACAAGAATCCCTGAGCCTCGCTGGTCAGTCAGTCCAGGCAAGTCAGTGAGTTCTAGGTTAAGTTAAAAATCGATCTTTTTAAAAAGAGATGCTTTTTTAGTTATTATTTTAAAGTATGTGTGTAGGCGTTTCTGGGTAGGTGTGTATGGAAGTGGGTTAGAGCTGCAGTGGCTGTCACTTACCCAGTGTGGGTGCTGGGACTTGAACTCAGGGCCTGCACTAAAGCCATTCATGCTCTTAACCACCAAGCCATCCCTCCAGCCTCCAAGGCCTGTCTTAAAAAATAAGGTTAATCCCAGTGCTTGGGAAGCAGAGGCCGGCAGATCTCTGAGTTCAAGGTCAGCCTGCTCTACACAGAAGTTCCAGCACAGCCAGGGCCACATAGTAAGTCCCTGCATGGGGGTGAGGGGAATTAGCAAAGATACCTGATGTCTACTTCTGGCCTACACGCACACACACACACACACACACACACACACACACACACAGTCACTCACTCACACTCTCACTCACACACAGACATACTCACATAGAGACACACTCATTCACACTCATTTACACACACATACACATATGCTCACACATAGATACACACTCTCTCTCTCCAACACACATAGACACACTCTCTTTCACACACACATACACACACAGATTCACATACTTACAATGCAGACACACACACCACGTTTGCACACACACACAAACATGCACTCGTACACACAGACCCATACCTTCACACTCACATATATATACACACAAGCTCTCTTACACACACATACACATGTGTACACACACGTATAGACACACACACAAAGTTACTTACTTTTCAAAGGTTATCTCTTCAGCTCTGAAAATCAGAACAAACAGGGCCCTCACAATCTGTACGTATAATAGTGAAACCAGTCACTTTGCCTAGTACCTGCCGTGTGCGCTTGTGCCGCTCAGCCCAAGTTCACACTTCCTTGTTTTCAATTTGTAGTTTATAAGAAGCTACAGAAAGAAGCTGAATTCCAGCGACAAGAATGGATCAGGAAACAAGGTAAAAATAGACATTTTTGTATAAAACATTCCAAAGTTATTTCCACAGCAAATTTAAATGAACAGCATTTTGTGTTTTGTAAAGAATAACTTAAAACAGCCATTGTTAAGTATGTGGGCATTAAAGATACTTTATGACAAAGTTCCTAATTCTGGGATCTGACCTAAAACGTAAATCACCTCAGGATTTAAGGACGAGCTTTGATCTTGCATTTGCAACTGACCGGAGACTGCTTCTGTCGTTGAAATTCCACAGGCCCGCACTTTGCGGAGTATCTGAGCTGGGAAGTGACTGGAGAATGTAACGTGCTGCTCAAGTGCAAGGTGAGAGGCGGGTGCGTTTGTAGCACTTTATTCAGGAGAAACCAAGATGAAAAGGAAGGTCAGTTTGCCCACTTTATTTACCCCAAAGCGATAAGCCACAGATTCAGCCTTTCTGTTGGATGTGAAGCAACCCTTGGCTGGTAGGAAACAGAGCAAAACAACATGGAAATGTGAGGATTGGTGAGAGTTCATGTAGTCACCCCTGAGCTGCAGAAGGCTTCTCCAAAATGACTGGATCTGAAGTGCTCAGGGTTCTCGGTGGAATTTGTTTTAGATTTTGGGGTAATTGTGTTTGTATACTGAGCTTTCTGAGAGAAGAACTTGAGTCCAAATATAAAATTCATTTACATTTCACAAATACTTTACAGACATAGCCTGAAGACATTTCATGCACTGTGTTGAATAATTTTGCACATGACACAAGGTTGTGTGTGGTTCTATGCTGATGCTCAGAAAAGCTGCTGGGTGTGGAGCGCTGGGTCTGGACTTTCGGCTTAGGGTTGGCCAGCTTCTGTCAATCAGAATGGCACACGCTGCTTCTGCTTTAGGCTAAGTCTGCATTCTAAGTGGTAAGCTATTCCTGACTCACCTCAGCTCCTTCTCTAAATCACGAGACTTTCACAGAAACCTGGCTGAGTGTGCCCAGCTGTGTCCGATTTGAACAAACCTTGTCTCAAAACTCCTTATTACACCATTGGAATAACTCATGTAAATGTAGCAGTTAACTATTGTTCTATATAGTCCATGGAGGACGTGAGCTAAACATTCAGACTCATGAGAACCATGTGAGCCCCAGCCTGCCCACAGGACACCACGGGCACCATTCTACTGCAGGAGTCCACACAGACAGACTTTCCCTCTGCCACCCCTAGATGACAGCCGAGGAGACAAGGTCCAGCTAGAGCAGGAGCTAGAGGCCCCTGGCTTCAAGAAACCTCAAAGAGATGAGGCTGCAGAGATGGGTCAGTGGATGAGAGCACTGGCAGAGGTGGACATGATGGCCTATGCCTTTAATTCTAGTGCTTGGAGATAGAGTGGATCTGTATGAGTTCTGGGCCAGTTAAGGATACATAGTGAAACCCTGATCAAAAAAACAAAACAAAAAGGAGCTGTTGTTAAAAATAAAAAAAGTCCCAACTGTTTGATTTTACCAATAAATATCCAGGAGTTAGATGGTGGGGTGAAAACCTACTAGCACTAGCTCAGTGAGGCAGAGAAAGCACCCAGCTGACCTTCTTACTCATGTCCCAGAAGGAAAAAGCCAAAAGCCCAAAGGCCAAAAGCTAAAAGCCCTTAAAGCCCTTCTTTTCCACACTGTCTTAAATACCCTTCAACTCAAAGTCCCTCCTTTCTGTTTATTTTCTGTCAGCTGGTTTCTTGCTCTGCCTCTTGACGTAGGGTTGACTTTATTTAATCCTCTTTACAGAAAACTTTTGGATTAAAGGTGTGTGCTAGGGCCGGGCCACACTACAACTGCCAGTTCACAACAAACAGCAAGTTTTTAGGTTAAAGGTGTGTGCTAGGGCTGAGTCACTTCACAACTACACACAGGTCTTTCAGGTCATAGTCTCGGGTTCACAGGGTTGCAAATACCCTGCAACAAGGAGCAGTGAGTGCTCTGCTGTAGAACCTGGCTTCAGGTCCAGCGTCCACATGGCAGCTCACAACTGTACCTCAGTTCTAGGGGATCCAACATCCTCTCCTGGGCTCTGTGAGCATCAGGAACACAGGTGGTACACACGCATACATGCAGTCAACATGCACATGTATATAAAATAAATAAATCTAAGTAATTTTTAAAAGATTGGTGTTTGGATTGTCTCTGGGCTCAGCAAGTCCAGAGCGTTTCTAGTTTCTCCTGGTCCAGACGCCGCTTTCCAAGCTGGTCATCTTTATCAATGTCACCTGTTAGCACAATAGGTTTCCATGATTTAAAAACCAGCTAATGGCCTTTTGTTTACTGACCCCACCCACTATTACTAAGAGTATTGCTTCTTATGTTCACTTGCTAGATGGACTTTTTTTTTTGGGGGGGGGGTGTATGTGTTGCAGGGCCTTGCACTCTACCGCTGAGCTCTATCCCCAAACCAGCTGAAATCCTTTTGACATCGTAAAACATGAATGCTTTTGTTTATAACAAGCATACTAATCACTTTTCTGTTGCTGTGATAAAACATTGTGACCAAGGCAATTTATAGAAGAAATCATTTAATTGCGCTTACGGTTCCATAGGGTGAGAGTCCATAATGGCAGAGCAAAAGCATGATGACAGGAAGAGTTGCATGTCAAACTGCAGGCAAGAAGTGGAGAGAGCACACTGAGGATGGCATTGGGTCTTTTGAAACCTCAAAGCCCCTCCCCCCATGACATACCTCCTCCAATAAGATCACACCCCCTAATCTTTTTCAAAGACCAACTGGGGACCAAGTGTTCAAATAGATGAGCTTATGGGGGTCATCCTCATTCCAATCTCCAGAAGCAAACGTGTCTCCATGTTGGTCTTGCAGTCATGTGTCCTCTTACCAGATGCTCAGTGGGGTCTTTGGTGTTTTCATTTTGTTTTCTTGATTTGTGTGAAGTCTTTACTCTCTCATGCAATTTTAGTTTTCAAGAAGTTCAAATGTTGTAGGAAAAGCTCAGGATCTGTCTACATGTGATGGTTTTATCCACTGATAATGTGTGATGTATGGGATCTAAACACATCTTCTCTAAATCTCTCTGCAATTAAGCTATTAAGCCTTACTTCCTTTATACATACATTTGTAATCTTCCTTTCTCTCTTTTGTTAAACGTTTAGATATAGATTGGAGTTTACTCATCCTATTCATTCTGCTGAGAGACTATTTTAATTCAGTAGGAGTTTTGTTTTTCTTTGGTTTTGAGATTTCTATTTTTATTTAAGCATTTATGTTAGCATATATGAAGTCCTTTCTTTCCACATCCACCTAAGAACTTTGGGATGTAGACAGGGTCTCCCATGTCAACCAGGCTGCTTTCAGACCCTGGGCTCAAGCAATTCTCTGATCTCAGCAGGACCATTCTACTGTACCACCATGCCCACTGAGCCAGTGTGTGTTTGTTTTTTAGGTTGGAGAATTCTTCTTTGATATGCCTTGATTTAATGGACACTTGGTACTTTTCCTTGGCATCACTTTTAAGCTTGTTTTGAAACAATTTAGTATTGCATGAGCTGGCCTGATCACTGGTCTCCCTGCTCCCTTGGGAGTGAGCCTGGTGATGGGAAGTTTCCATTCCATTTCCAACCGGGACCATCTGTCCATGCAGAAAACAGTCCTACTGCCCAGTGCAGCATTCCTGTATTTGTCATGGAAACCGGATGCTAAGACAAGTTTTACCGTTGGAAATCAAGATGCTGTTGATTTAAGTTTATTCGCTGGTGTTCACCTTATTGTAACCCGTTCTCTACGAAAACCCTCAATTGTGGAACTGGTCTCTTTATAAATGGGTGTCTTCTGACTCCATGTTATTCAGTGTTTTAATACCCCAACGATTAAGAACTGCTTACCTTCGCCAAAACAAACCCCTTTTTCTTTGTTTTGATTCCTCTTACAGGTGGCAAATATTAAAAAGGAGACCCAGATTGTGTGGTACAAGGATGAACGGGAGATATCGGTGGATGAGAAGCATGACTTTAAGGATGGCATTTGTACCCTGCTCATCACGGAGGTGGGTGGCCACAGACAGGCGAGCTGCTGCCTCCGCATTGCAATTCTCTCACTAGAAACCAGACTCCTCAGTGACTCCATGCCCAAAGGAGTCACAGCGGTTCAAATCTAACAGGAACACATTTATAATCCCAGTGGTGGAGACAGTTAGGTAGGTGGGTCCCTGGAGCTTTGTGGCCAACTGGTCTAGCCAGATTGGAGAGCCCCAGGCCCTACCGAGAGACTCTGCCTCAAAACACAGGTCGGAGCTGGAGAGATGGCTCAGCAGTTAAGAGTACTAGTTGCTTTTCCAGAGGACATGGGTGTGATTTCCAAGCACTCACATAGAGGCTCACAACTGTCTGTAACTCTATCCTAGGGGACCCAATGCCCTCTTCTGTTCACTTTATTATAATTTTATTATAGTTTGGGACTGACTTCTTTAGAAATCTGTGTCACTGTCCACAGTTACTGCATGCATGTGCCGTAAAGACAGCCACACAGTCCGACCACTCAGACACATAAAGTAAAAGGTTAAAAGCAAGCAAGGTGGACGGCTCCTGAACAGCGATAGCCAAGGTTGATCTCTGGCCTCCACATACAGGTTGTATGCTTATTTCATGCATACCCACGCAATGTACGCTCATACACACATGAACTTACACTCATACACGCATGCATGCACACCACACAGAGACACAATGTACACAGAAATGCAGCAACCAAATTTGATCAACTGCAATGTTCACTGTCTCCTCAGTTTTCCAAGAGAGATGCTGGATTTTATGAAGTTATCCTGAAAGATGACCGAGGAAAAGATAAGAGCAGATTGAAACTTGTGGATGAAGGTGAATCTACCAACTGCTGGGGTCTGCCTTATGGGTCTACAGCTACCAGAATTATGACCAGGGCTGGACTGGCCGTGGAAGTCATGCTTTGTGTCCACTGTTTTTTTGTTTAATTGAAATTCCAGCAGAACAAATGACTGTTCATTTTCAAAAACATTTTCCCTTTCTACTTCCTAGAAATCAAAAGTAAACTTTTGATCCTTAAAGAATTTATAGCCCACGGGCCACTAGAAATCTGTTCTCAATTTAAGTCAACGTTTTTGTTTCAACTCTACAAAAATCTTCTAGGATCAAAACCTTCTGTAAGGAGCATGCTAAAAACAAAATAGGCCATTGTTAAGGGTGTCAAGAAAGATTTGTGTGTGAAATTTGAAGCTCTGCAGTCATTAACATAGGAAAGCAGCCATTTCCATTTTTCAGACACTTACTAAGGGCAAATATATTATAATAACTCAAAGCTACTCAGAACCCTGTCCCCCAAACCTCCTTAGTACAGCAAGATTGTAATCAGCCCATAGAAGCTAGGAGGCTGGCTCTCAGCTCTCAGTAGAGGTGGAGCTGCGGTTAACAGAGACAGTTAATTCATTGGGAACAGATGACACAGATAAGAAAACCCCTGTAATTCAAACTAAGGCTTCCTCCAATTTAAGAAGAAAGAGCATTTCAAAGCCAACAGGCTTCCTGGAAACGTCATTGCGGCCTTTTCCAGAATGTATACACAATATTAAATTACCAACCAACCATTCAAGGAAAGCACAGGTCAAAACAAGGAGAAATCCTTTTTTGAAGCCTTATGAAAATTGGGTTGTTTTACCAAAAAAAAAAAAAACAAAAAAAAAAAAAAAACAAAAACAAAGGAAAACACTAATTATCAATGGGTCAACAAATTCATCTGCTATTGGATGGCCTTCTCTGGACAGGGACTTAGTGAGTTAACAGCGTGAAACTTGACCTTATATGGAATATGCTCAAGCTAACGGTTTTTGGCTATGTCCTTCTATCCACAGCTTTCCAAGAACTGATGACTGAGGTATGCCGGAAGATAGGTAAGTTACCATCTCCTCACCACGGCGAAGGTTTCAGTACGCTGCTTCCGGGATGAACTCACCGGTGCATGAATTATGCTGTTCTCTTCCTCAGCCTTGTCCGCTACAGACCTGAAAATCCAGAGCACAGCAGAGGGCATCCGGCTCTACTCCTTTGTCACTTATTACCTGGATGACTTGAAAGTTAACTGGTCCCACAAGTAAGTAGATGCAAACTGACTCGCTAGGTAGACAACCCCCCACACACACACATACACACTGGCAAGTGAGAGGAATGTAAACAAAAAGTCCACCCCACTCAGGTAAGAAGTCCTTTCATTCTCAGGGTTCATGTTGATGACCACAGGACAGAACACTGAGGCCCTCCCTTACTCCAGGTTAGCTCTTTCCCTCAACACAATGGCTACAGTGTGTCTTTGCTTGTGACAGAGGTATCATCATTCATAGATATCTTGTAACGTAGCCTCCACCTGTATCCATTCTTTAGTTGAGGGACATCTAGGTTGTTTCCAGATTCTGGCTATTATGGCTAAAGCTACTATGAACATAGTTGAGCAAATGTCCTTGTTGTATGGTAGAACATCTTTTGGGGATATGCCTAAGAGTGGAATAGCTGGGTTTTGAGGTAGCCCTGTTCCCAGTTTTCTGAGAAAGCACCAGATTGATTTCCAAAGTGGTTGTACCAGTTTGCCCTCCCACCACCAAAGGAGGAGGGTTCCCCTTTCTCCACACCCTCTCCAGTGTGTCACTTGAGTTTTAGATCTTAGCCATTCTGATGGGTGTAAGAAGGAATCTCTGAGTCATTTTGATTTGCATTTCCCTATGACTAAGGATGTTGAGCATTTGTTTAAGTGTTTCTCTGCCATTTGATATTCTTCTGTTAAGAATTCTCTGTTTAGCTCTGTGCCCAATTTTTAATTGGATTATTTGGTTTGTTGGTGTTTAATTGCTTAAGTTCTTTATAGAGTCTGGATATTAACCCTCTGTCAGATGTGGGGTTGGTGAAGATTTTTTCCCAGTCTGTAGGCTGTTGTTTTGTTCTGTTGACAGTGTCCTTTGCTTTACAGAAGCTTTTTAGTTTCATGAGGTCCCATTTATTAGTTGTTTCTTTTTCCAGTTCTATGGTAGTTGAACTGCTAATATATTTAAAGATAGATCAATAAGTGTCCTCATAGCATGTAGTGTTATAAAAAATACTAAATATTCATTGAAACCTAAAATTTTTGGTGAAAAAATATATATATATTTAGTTCATTTTGAAATTCTCTTTAGGCTACGAACTTTGTACATGCTTTTTTAAAGAAAATACATTTGTAGATATTATGAAATGAAAAGGTTTTGTTGTTTTGTTTTTGTTTTTCAAGACAAGATTTCTCTGTGTAGCCCTGGCTATTCTGGAATTCACTCTGTAGACCAGGCTGGCCTTGAACACAGAAATATCTGTTTCTGCTTCCTGGGTGCTGGGATTAAAGGCATGTGCCACCCCAGCCCAGCTAGAAGGATTTATAACATGATATCATCAGTAGTTTTAATAGCCCATTTATGCACATTTAAATTTCTGTCTTTTAATTTTTCTCCATATATATTGTTACTTTCCTCTCTGTATACAGAGGGGAATTTTGTGTACTGCTTTTAAAAGTTGTGTTTCAATTATTTTGTGTGTGCCCCTGTGCGCATGGCACAGCACAGTGGAGGTCATTTTGTAGGCGTCAGCTCCTTCACTCTGGTTTTCAGGCTCGGCAGCAAGCGCCTCTACCCCTGCACCAGTCACCGGCCCTATACATGGCATTTTAAATTTCCTCATAGTTTCACGAGATCTTCATGAAGTGTTTTCCTCCACGCCCTTGTTTTTCTCTGTGACCGGAGTGCTTTTTACAGTCAGATCACAGTGGCAAGGGCTGCATTTCCTCTTGCTCTCACACACGGTCATGGCGCATGCCTCACTGGCTTCGACAGCCGCTCTGCTTTTTATTCACTTTTGACTCTTCAACCACGCACATCTTTACATAGTCTTAATAGCTGTGGAGCAGCGTATGTCAGTAGCTGTCATCACAGAGAGTCCCCATCAGTGTGTCTTTTGCTTATCCGGCTTGGCCACAGATCATCTGTGTTAAATATGCAGCAAAATAGTATGCAGTTTGGCCTTTTGCCTTTGAAGATTCCCTTAGCACTAGAAATAAACCCAAGCAAAGCCAAAGATAACCAGTGCCGCTGAGAGATATTGGTCATGAAATCTACAGTGGGCCCAGGCTACTGCGGTGAGTTTAGGCTACCTGTTTCAGGTCCTTGAAATCCAAGTCCACAAACACCCTAATGCAGAATGGCATCGGCAGGTCTCATGTATCCTGAAGGCCCATGAAGGGTCATAGATGGGACGTACATAAATAAGAGGCCGGGGAAAGATCAGCACGCATGGAAGGAAACATGATACTTTCCTCACCTTAACAGCGGGACTGGAATTAAGTATACAGACAGAGTCAAGAGTGGGGTCACTGGGGAGCAGATTTGGCTGCAGATCAACGAGCCCACCCCAAACGACAAAGGGAAATACGTCATGGAGCTCTTTGACGGCAAGACTGGGCACCAGAAGACAGTGGATCTTTCTGGACAAGGTAAACGTACATCTAAACACTATAGAATAAGCCAGAATGAAGTGAGTTTATTATCTGGTGGTGTCAAAGAAGGGTTTGTTTGTTTTGTTGTTGTTGTTTGTTTTTGATGCTCAGGTTGCGTGGACCTGTGCTGATCAGTTTCTCTAAGTCCCAATCTTTTTGGAAGCCTGTCTTGTTTTTAAGTTCAATTTAATTATATGTCACCCCATATGAGTGACACCAATCTGGTTAGATCTGGTCAGCCGAGGACTGGTGCAGGAATGAGGCTGAAACAATGGCCTCTGATGCATTTTCATTAATAGTGACTTTGGCAAGGTGGTCTTAATCATCAAGAACTTAGTGGGTAGACAACCCACCAAATTCAAATCCACAAAAAGCGAGACGGAGACAACAAACATGGAAAGGAAGCACCACCCTTACAGGAGGATTTTTGGAAGAGGTCAGTTGATTCACGATCACCTCCTTAAGAGCAGCGAGTTCAAAGCAATTGTGTATGGGGACTAAGATCTGAGCTTATTTATCCAGACCAAGAAAACAGTTCCTTAGTTAGTTAGACTAGATAGACTGAACATGAAGGGCAGTCATTGGTGGGAAACTCTGGAAAGGAATAAAGGGGCTTCTCTGTCCAAAACCAGAAAGGAGTGAATGAAAAGAACCAAAGGAAATGCTGAGCAGGGCAGAAGGAAGCCAGAGAGCTACATCTGAAGGGTCCCAGATGTCCTAGTTATCTGCCAAAAGAGTCAGGGCTGCTGGAGATAACAGGAAAGAAAAAGTGTAAAGAGGGGCAAGCAACAAGCTAAGATCAAAGGGGGCACACAGTTACTGAATAAAACTTAAAAAGTTAAGTGAACAGGCAAAAAAGTTACGTAAGCAGCTAAAATCGACACAGTTTCCCCCATCCCTTGGCTATATTCTTCCCTCTGTTCTCTCTGAAACTCACCAAAGGAGGCTAACCACCCTTCCTCCTTGGGGCATTACGATGCAGTCTCAGTGTATCGTAACTCTTTGTGCTTTTTCAACCTCAGGATAAGTTCACAGTTTAGAGAGCAGCTTTCCAAGCATGCCAGGAGGCGTGTGAGTGTGCGTGCATGTGTGTGTGCATGTGCGTGTGTGTGTACGTGTTCTCTGAATCCCCTATTCTCACCCCACTCCTACCTAGTATGCCTACAAAGACTTTCTGAAGGATTTGTAGTCCTGGGAGAAGTTGCAGCAAAGAGGCAAGGACCTTCCGGCCCGCTCTGTACCAGCTTTGCCGCGGCTCTCCCCCACCGTCTGCCTGACTATGGGAAATTCAACAGAAAGGGGAAGGAGCAAGTGGGCGGATAGATTTACAACACTTTGAAAATTATTTTTAACAACAAAGCCTATGCAACCACCCCACTTTTAACCCCCTATAAGACAAAGGCTGCAGATTCTCTCACCTTGCACTACAGCCACCAATCACACACTAGCTTGGCCTCTTTCTCTCAGTGTGGGGACCAGGAACAGCTCTTGTGCTACTATGCTGTTCTCAGCCTGACTTCATACTGACTCTCCTATATATAAAGTGTGTGTGTGTAGGGAGGTGTGGGTTAGTACAACCTCATAAAGTCTATATTCTCTACATTTCAAATGTGACTCTTAGCTGGGGAGATGACGCCACGGGTGTGAGTACGAGCTGTGAAAGTCTGATGGCCCAAGTTCAGTCCCCAGAACCCACATAGAAAGCTGGATGTGGGTACACGCCTAAGATCCCAGTACTTCTGCCCCAAAGAGGAGGGAGGGAGTGGAGACAGGAGAACCATCGGGAAACTCAAAGGTCCGACTCAGTGAACAGAGCAGCTGGTGGGAACAGGCTCCTAAAAGCTATGCTCCAATGCCTCCACCCAAGCCAAGGCACACCCTCAACACACAGATGGAAATAAACCTGTGTGTTTCTTGAGCCACGAAGGAGATGAAGGACGAACAAGAGGGATTTCTAAACAAAACTGCCTTTTTTTTCCTCATGAGCTTCAGTCAAGAATCTTACCCTGACGTCAACGGGGATAAGATTATTTTAGAGCACTGTAACTCCTATCTTCTTATCTCATTCGCCTCCATCTCTACTTCATTGTGGCTTGAGAAATACTGCTTCAGCTGGGGAGAGAAGAGGGACAGAGAGTGGGGACGAATATGAACAAAGCCCAATGATACACATACATGAAATGTCATAATGAAACCTATTATTTTGTATGCTAACAAAAATGTATTTTAAAAATTAAAAAAAAAATACAGTCTCTGGGCTCTGCCCTACAATGCACAGCACTGGATTTCAGCCCATGCTCGGGATACAAGGCGATGACCATGATACAGTGTGCTCGCTTCCTGCCGAAACGGAGCAGAAAACCTAACATGGTTTGGACTGTCTAGCCAAGAGCCTCTCAGGGCTAATTTAATAAGAAAAACAAAACAAAACGAAACGAAACAAACAAACAAAACCATTGTTTCCTTTTTTTTTCACAATGCTTTATTCGAAAGGCTTATCCCTATTTTCTCTTGAGTAGTAGTGATAGCCAACTTTCTCTGTTTAAGGCTGAAGGCGCCTTGCTGAGTTGAAATCTTCTAAAGTCCACCACTTCATACTGTCTACATAGAATGCGCTTATTTGTCTTGTTGACATTGCACTGTGAAGCCATAGGCAGTCTCATGGAAAGGCGGGTGACCCAACCTTGTGACTTTAACCAGCCCTGACTGATAAAACTTTAACTTTCTTTTCTTCTTTTAAAGCATTTGATGAAGCCTTTGCTGAATTCCAGAGGTTAAAGTAAGTTCCCGTTCCTGGCAAGGGCCGCTTCTACTCAGTTACGTTCCTGGAACCCTGAGTTCCATCTGAGCATCAGAAAGAGTCTATTGTTCCAGCCAGCATAGGAAAAGCCCAGTTGACACTGTTAGTTGAGCTGCCAAATATCTCTGAAGCGGACTATGGACTGCCTTTCCTCCTCTCCTTTGTGTATTAAATGCAGTCTAATTTTGTCACAACTCTTCATGTTACACAGAGCAGATTTGTAATTGAGAGAGAGCAACTTTCCAAGCTGCTCTGAGGCATGCCTGTGTGTGAGAGGGGGCAGAGAGAGAGAGATACTTGAAGTGATACTAATCCAACTTTGTTTTGTCTCTCTCAACCACAGACAAGCTGCCATCGCAGAAAAAAGTAAGTAACTGCCTTCACACAGCACAGAGGCAAACTCAATGTCAGACTCCATTTCCTGGCATATCTACTGATGATAACGGATTCTTTTCTTGCTGGGCTTGGTAACATAAAACCCTTAATCCCAACACTTGGGAGGCAGAGGCAGACAGATCTCTGATTTCTAGACCAGCTTGATCTACACAGGGAGCGTCTGGTCACTTCTCTCTTTTATAAATTGTAGAGGGGCTACATATGGTTTCACTTTAATCTTAGGTCTGTAGGAAGGTCTCAGTTATGACATCTGGCTCTTGTCCTCAGCAGGTAACCTAAGAAATCTCTTGGTTACAACCATATGGTAGTTATTAGTCATTGTAGGTACAATGTATCAGAAGAAACTTAGACACAGTGAACAAAACAAGAGTTGGAAACACTGTCTTTGACACGGTAAATCTGTAGAAACAAGGTTCAAGAGTCACAGGTTGAATGAAATGGGCCTTAGAATGTGAGGCTGGTAACCAGGTCTGTACCAGAGAGGAGGCCTGGGGGTGTGTCAATGAAGAGCTCCATCATCAAGTGCTCAGACAGTCATGCCCAGAGCACGCATGTGTCCTGACCAACAGCACCGACCCTAGATTTCAGCACATCTCTCATACACCTGACACCAAGAACCAAGAAAAGGAAACTCTCTAGGGAGAGGCTCAAAGGAAGCCCACAACCGCACAAGCCTCCGGAGCTCCCAGGCTATAGCCTTCCTACTAGTCAACTGGTGCTCATCACAGGGAAGCCATGAAGAGGCCATGCCCAACCCAGAGCCTACAAGTGAAGATTTGTTCTGCTCCCTTGAGCTTAGTCGTGCTGAGCCACTCCTGGGCTAGAGCTGGAGGGAGCCGTGAAAAATCATGGGGCAGGTCTTCCTGTGACTAAGTAGCTCCGAGCTGCTGCTTTAGGCACAACTCCGGGCACTTGTACATGTGCACTATGCGAGTAAAGATGACCCAGAGACACTGTGTCACCTTCTCATTTTGCACACTGAAAGCCGGGTGAGATAGCCATGACAGCAGGACGGGGAGAAATAGCTTGGGAGGTTCGGGTCATGAAGCGGCTTTGAGGGCATGGGCTGTGGCCCTCCTCATCGCAGTGATTAAGCAGAAATTTCTGTGCTTGCAGATCGGGCCCGGGTGTTAGGCGGTCTCCCCGATGTTGTCACCATTCAGGAGGGCAAGGTAAGTGTGGGGTGCCCTCATCCCCGCCTTCACACACGGAACAGGCCCCAACACGCCACACCATTGCATCCCACCGTCTCTGCCTTATCCATCGTCTGCGCTTGACCAGAATAACCAAATACAAGGTTACAAGTTCAGCATTCCAGTCATAAGGTCTTGGCAGCCCAGGGTCAGGGCAAAAGTGTCTCTTGTGCGGCTGCATTGAGGCCATTTCTCCAGAGTCATGTTTTGAAACCATCAAAAGCCACTGGGCTGTATGAAAATGAACCTGGAAACATTAGCTTCTAACTTTGTAACAACAGAAGAAAGAAATTACCCCGTGGAATTAGCACCCTGGAAGGCGCCTGTGCTGTTAAGAGCCTTCTGGTTACAGGGAAAGGTGCTGCCTCACGAGTTTCTGCTAGCTCCATCTCTGATGAAAACCAGCCTCTCCATTTGGTGTTAAAGTGGTATTTCCTGGCTTCCAAGAGGCAATGAATGTGACCTCTGACCTGTAAACCAGGCAGAGTGGTACATGCCTGTAATCTAAGAACTCAGCAGAGGGCTCCAGAGTTTAAGGCCACCTTTGGCTGCGTAGCCAGACCCCATATCAGTAACAGTAAGTTTAATATACATCTTGCAAGTCCAGAGGGACCTGCAGCAGAGTAAAACCTTTTCCTGCCCGGAAGCGCAGACACTGTCTGCGATGGGGGAGGTAAAATGGATGGCTGCAGAATTAGGGCTGCAAAGCAAGGCTGTGGGTGCCACTCTGTGCTTTGTAGGTGGGAAACACCATCATCGGCTTTAAGCTGAAGGAGGTTGAACTCACTGAGCAGTAGTGTCAGTGAAGAGAGAACATAGGTGAAAGCACTTGAATCCACAATCCAGGTCTAAAGCGTGGACATTAGTTTTCCACAGTGCTTACAGGGTTTGGGATTTCTGTTTGATTTGGTTACATTTTACCCCAAGTGGCCTGCAGTTTCCAAGCTCACAGAGCTGGTCTGTTCAGATACATTGAATGACAATGATTTGACTCATTTAAAAATTATTATACGCACGTGTTTACCCACTGGAGGATGTGCTATAGCGTGTATGTGGCAGTCAGAGCACAAAGCACAACTTTCAGCTCTCCGTTCTTCCGCAGTGTGGTACTGGGGGGGGGTTGAACTTGGGTCGCCTAACTTGGCAGCAAGCATCTTTACCCAGTGAGCCATTTCTCTGGCTTGCACTCTTCTTTCCGAAATGTACCCATAGAGCAATTCTGTGAAAACGCTAATTAAAACTGCCATGGCAGCATGCGCTGATGAGCCCAGCCCTTGGGAGGCATATGCAAGAAGCTCACAGGGCAAGCCTGAGCGCACAGCCTGTCTCAGAAACGTGCTAACAGTGAGATGTAAGCAGGCGTCGTAGTGGGAGGTAATGAGTGACAACTTAAGGTCTCTTGGGAAGATATTTAGAAGAGCACCCCTTCCCTAGCAATGCCAACTTCGTTCCTAGTCGAGACTATGTGATTCAGCATCAGTAGCCATGGACAGGCGGATAAAGACACCGTGGGATACAGCATGCCTACCTGAACTGCAGTGGTCCATGACGCGCAACAGAACCGCACAATGGCAAATGAGGGCAAAGATATGGGGAAAATGAATTACCTCTGCAACGTGGGTAGGATGCCGGCCAAAGCTATATCGACTCTTAGCAAAAGAGCCTGGCGATTTCTAGGGAGAAGAGTGAGTCCTAGGCTTATCACACAGCCCAGAAACTAAACCCTGGGCGCTTATCCCAGAGAAACGGAACCGCCTGTATTCTATTCACAGTAACTCTCTCCATGAGAGCCCCGAACTGAAAGCGGCCTATATGGGCCTTGGGGGCATGCACATACACTGGCACACTTCTCACCTAGGAAGGGCCAAGCGACTGACTCAACAGCATGGATGCCTCATCGCGGAATGACACGGAGACAAAGAAGCAGTCTGGAAAGTTTGCATACTGGAGATTCTGTTGACATAACTTTGTTTTTTGGAAATGACAGTGTTTTATGAATGGAGAAATGAGTAGCAGATGCTGGAGACCGAGAACAGAGTTGGCAATCAAACCGACATGGTGCAGAGCCCAGTCCCAATGGGTACATCTGGAATACAACTCCCACACCTAAGCCCTGGGAATCACTGCAGAAAGAGGGGGCAGGATGGGAGGGAGAGCCAGAGGCTCGGGGAGTTTGCTGTGAGACTGCCTCCTCCGAACATCAGAAGCTGCACCGCTAAAGTCTTACCAGTGTTATCCCCCAAATGTGAGCCGAACAAGGACAATGATAGCAATGCCAAAGTGGATGGAGAAAAACCAAGAGGCCTCAGCCCTACACAAAGAACCCCAGGCAGCTAAGAGATGCTGAGAGGGCCAGAAATAGTCTTCTCCAGGGAAGAGAAAACCAACTGGTTATCCAAAACCAAATGGCCAGCCCTGAAAACACACACACACACACACACACACACACACACACACACACGTAACATTATATAGACTGAGCAGGTTGTATTTAGGAATATATATGTATATGTACATACGCACACACATACATAAAACAACAATTAATGGAAAAAGGGGTCATGAATTTGAAAGAGAGCAAGGAAAGGTATTTGGAAGGGTTTGGAAATGGGAAAGGGAGCAGGGAAATGATGAAATGATAGCATACTCTCAGCAACTATAATCTCAAAAAGAAAAGATGTCTTTTTCAACAAAGAACAGGGTTGAGAAGTCGGGTGGGTCATGCAGCGTTGAAAGGACAGCACAAGGGGATTGTGTGATGATGAAAATCTACCTGTCGACTGTAAGTACAAAACACTACCCGTCAAACAGCCATCTCACACACAAACTCAAGCCTCTGGGGTGCTTAGAGCGGCCTGTGAGGCTTTCCTTTTCTTGGCAAGGCCAAGTAAAAGTGCAGCCGAATGCCGGTGTTTTAGAAGAGTTTCAACAGGGCCGGTGAGATTTTACTTAGGATGCATTTGGGCCAGGCACCTCAGCACCAGCACAGGCCGGAAGGGGTCCAGGGAGCTAAAGGAAATGAGGAAGATGGAAAGGGAAAATTAGTTAAATCACGTAGAGCCGCTGCTGCCATTCTACTGCTGGGTTCCGAGACGCAAGTGAAATGCATAAGGAGCAGGCAGTGGGTGTGGACTGAGATTTCTCGGCTGATGCAGCCACCTCAGAGCAAAAGGCGGCTGAGTGTCCACGGAGGAGAAAGTGGAGATGGAGAATGGAAAGAAAGTGCCACCGTGAGCTGCTGCCAGACAGCAAGCATTTTAGAATCCCAAAGCCCCGCCCTAAAGATGCTCCTCCGAGTGTGACCACAGCTGCAGACCCATAGCTACCTTAAACCCAGCCTGGGAGCCTTCTAGTTCTCGCTGGCCTGGCGCGAGGCTGGATCAGAATTAACTGACTCCCCTTCGTTCCCATAACCCTGTCTTGCAGGCGCTGAATCTCACTTGCAATGTGTGGGGCGACCCAACCCCCGAGGTGTCCTGGCTGAAGAATGAGAAGCCTCTGGCCTCCGATGACCACTGCAGCCTGAGGTTCGAGGCGGGGAAGACGGCCTTCTTCACCATCTCAGGAGTGAGCACCGCAGACTCCGGCAAGTACGGGCTGGTGGTGAAGAACAAATATGGCTCGGAGACCAGCGACTTCACCGTCAGTGTGTTCATCCCTGAGGAGGAGGCAAGGAAGGGCCCAGCAGAGCCCCCCAAAGGCAACCAGAAGTCCAAGTGAGGGGACATCGGGGGAGCCAGGGCCAGCTGGACACCCGCCATGCTGCTCTTGTGGAAATGGTTTGGGTTACAGATGAGGAAATCCTCCTGGTGTCCCCTCCCCAACCCCCTGTTTTGTGCTGGCTTAGGAAGAAGTTATCACATCTCTTTTTCACATAGAAGAGGCACCAATAGAAGACACTGTAAGGGCTTTTATCAACAGTTTATATAGTGACAAAACTTTAGGAAATGAGTCCGAGGAAGAAGGCCAGAGGATGTTGGAGAGGTGTTGAACCAGAGCAGCAGTGGGCTAGAGTTTGAAGCACATGGAGCTTTACCTGTAAGGTCTTAGGGATTGTGACTACACTTGGCACTGTTAAGGCCGTGAGTGTCGCTGGTCACGGTGACTGTAGGGATGGTGCGTTTTCTGTTGGCAGTCTTGCGATGTGGCCTCCCCCGCTGTGAATAAACAGTCCCACACTCTCCTCTTTCCCCTTGTGTCTCTGATCCTCACCATGTCGGGCCCTTCCACCTCTCCCTTGACGTTGCTATAGCTCACCTTCTGGTTTACACACTTAGGGCAAAAGTGGTACCTTCTGAACATGGTCACATAAAAACCACACCTGGGGTCAGCCGAGGCTCAGAGTTCGAAAGCACACCAACACTGCATATCCGCTCACTTGGCGACCCTCCACCACTAAGATGGAGTTGTCATTGATTAAACCGTGTCAACTGTCTGTGATAAGGTGGCATAATGCTGCAGAGGTCTCCTGCCTCTTCCTGCCCAAGGTGGGTAACTCACACCATTTGATGTTGCCATGACAGAACACCAGAAACTGAGAAATTTATAATGAAAAGAGGTTATTATTTTTTTGAAGTCCTAGAAGCCCCAAAGTCCAAGATCCAAAGGGCTGACATCTGGATCAGGCAACCAGGATCTTGTTAAGGGCCTTTTGGCTGTCCTGTGTGATGCCAGGAGAACAAGCAAATTCAGCCTTTTTGTCAGGAACCCTCTCCAGAGGCAACTAAAGCATTCTTTGGTGGACACTGGCTGCATCGGTCCCTGTTCATATTCCAATACCTACTTCTCAGCGCCGTCAGAGACTAGTTGTGAACGCTGGGGCACATTCAGACTGATACCAAGAATGAAGCAGAGATTTCCCTACGCCGTAGATACGGCTTCCGTGCACATAGAGCTTTTGAGAGATCAGGGAGGAAGCCTCGTTCCAGCTTCCTCTCTGGTGTCAGCAGGCCTCACTTCCACATGGTCCCCCATCATGACGCCCTCACCAAAGCCAAGCTGGTGGGCTTGCCTAATCTCAGCTGTTCTGCTTCTAAACGAAATAATCCTCGTTTCTTTGCAGAGCCAGCAGGCTTCAAGTACTTCAGTAAAGAAAAATACACGGTCTAGCATAGTAGATAAGTGCACTGGAAACCAGGTAAGCCCTGATGAAGGAGACAGCCCAGACATAGCCTAAGTTCTCCCTGCCTCAGCGAAAAGGCCACCTGGGGGCAAGTGACCAAGAAGGAAGGGGCCATTGAGTACTTACCTGCCGGGAAGTACCAGCGGTGGCAGTCTCTCGTGCTGTGAGCTGCTCAGGGTAGAGGTTCCTGGGCCTCCTCAGAACGCACAGTGCAGCAGGCCTACGAGGCAGCAGCAGAGCCCCAGGGTGGGGGGACAGACTCTAGCACCTCACCCTGGGACCTTCCCTGGCTTGAGAAGAAGACAGGACATGCTGATTCCTGAAATTGCACAAGAAGATGAAACCCGTGTGTGCGCTCACCAGGAACCCACCATGTGGTAGAAGGACCCGATGGGACAGGGCAGCAGGGAGGCAGAGAGGAATGTTTACATTCAGGAGCCATATTTGCCGAGACTCCTCAACAAACCAATTCCAAGAACTAACCCACCCATTATAATGAGCAGACTGTATTAGCCATTTCACAATCCAGGAGCGCTCGAAGCTGTTTCTAAATAGAAGAACACAACTAAAGTCCCAGACATGTTGATGTAACAATTCTCGAGTTTCCTTTGAACATGTAGTTCATGAGCCTGTGACCCGCTACAGGTGGGCTGTTGATATTGGAACACAGTAAAAGTCTGTTTTTATAAAAGTAATATATAATATGGCCAAGTGACAAATTCTATAACCTTACTAAGCCCTTGAAAGAGCATTCTTACTTTTTTTTTCTATTTGAAAGTTTAGTCATTAAAAATTTTAGTTGTAGGACTACTTTTTATAATATTAAAAATCTTCTTTAATCGGCTAAATTAAATTTATCAATTGATTTTTTTTATTTTAATCATTGCTGTTATCTGGCTTATCTGGCTTAAACAGAACTCCTAAGAAGTTATCCTTAACTGCCTATTTGCGCATGTAACTATGGGAAATTTGAGTTCTCTTAAATGTTCTCATGTTGTATATAAACCTGGATATTATGTGATAGTCACACATTTCAAGTTAGAACCAGAAACCTAAGCTGTTACTAGGCTTAATTATCTACTTAGCTGCCCTCACAGCAGGGAATGGAGATTAACGCTAACAAGAACAAGAGACTGGGACTCAGTTGTTCAAGGTGGGCTGTGCAAAGGCAGCTTAGACCAAACAAAAAAGGTTTCGGTAAAAATATCACCAACGGACACAGGGAAGCTGTACAAACTTGCCATCTGCCGAGAGGTGGTTCTGGGAAGAAAAAAAAAAATTAACAGTCTCTTCCGGTCAGTAATGGCTGCATATGAGGTCTACAGTAACAGCATGGCGCGGTGCAGGAGCCCCAGCCAAGAACACCCGTAAAACGGAAATGTCTGGAGTCCAGAGAAACGAATGTCAAACTACACGACAAGGGACTTCTGTGTCTAGACACAAAGGATTACTGTTGGGAGGACTGTTCTCACAGGAACAGCTAGAAAACCTGGCTAAATATAAAGCAGCAAATGTCTGGGGCCCCGGGCTCCCACACACACAGGACTGTGACTCCTGAGGGTCTGGGAATGAGTTATAAGCAGCAGCTGTGACGTCTCCGCTGCTTGCTTGGATGGAACGCTCAGACTGCAGTTCACTGAACTGCAGAGAAGGAGGTAGAAGTTCATAGAGGTGGAGGTGTCTAGAATGCCCGCAAAGCTTCTCAGGGAGAAGAATTGCACAGAGGCCGGAGGGCTGGGGTGCTGCAGGTTCTGATTAGTTCTGGAAGGGGCCACTGGAGTGGCCAGACGAATAATTCTTGAAGCTCGATCACTCAGGGTGGAACTGGTGCTCATCGCCGTCGGGAGCAGGGCAGACCTCTCGGGAGTTTCTCACGGTAACACAGAGGCAGACAGTCTTAGACTGAAGGCTGCTACAGATCTCAAAGCTGAAAAGGAAGCTGCAAGCAGGTGGAGGAGATGGGTAAGCGTGCTTGCTCTGAAAGCATAAGCAAATGAGTTCAAATCTTCAGCATTCACGTTAAGAAACCAAATATGGCTTAAAGTGTTTATCATCCTACTTTGGGGGCAGAGACAGGAGAGCTCACTGGTCATCCTCCCCAAAATGGTGGGCTTCAGGTTCCACGAGAGACCTGTCTTAATGCAATAAGACAGAGAGCAATAGAAAAAGACAGCCCACATCTTCTTCTGGCACATCCACACACTCGCATACATACACACACACACACATATATACATGTACACACATACAGATGCCACACACACGGGCACACACAGCACACATACAAGCACACGTGTAAGCAGGCCTAAAAAGGGGGAGATTTCTGTAAGAGTGGAACTCTATGTGAGGAGCACGGACAGACTTCACAGTATTAGACAGTGTGAAGTTACGATAGCAAGTATCCGATCCAAGTTTAGCAGCCTGTCCACTGGGGCTTGTGGGAGAGCACTAGCCTCACATGGGCGAGGCCCGAGATTCAATTTCCAGGACCTAAAATAAGCAGATAGACAGACAGACAGACAGACAGACAGAAGTAACATAAATAATACGCCTGCAAATGAGTAGGAAGGCTAGAGCTGATAACTAGAAGAAAAATAGTCATAAAAATAAGCCCAGAAATGACATGAGTCTGGAGAACACAGCAGAGCATTTGTTAAGTATGTAGATAAGTAACTTAATCATAATAAGTTAGTAGAGTCTGCAGCACAGGCCTATAATACCAGCTACTAGGGAGGCTGTAGCAGGAGGATCAAAAGTTCAAGGCCTGCCTGGGCAACCTTGGGAGACACTGTCTCAAAACAAAAACCAAAGAGCTGAGAACATAGCTCACTCATATATTACTTGTGTAGAGCATGCGCAAGCTAAATTCAGCCCCCAGTGCTGCAAAAGGAATGAATAACTGCCAGAGGAAAGAATAGGAGCCAGAGGAAAGAGTAAATGCGTCAAGTAAGACATGGAAAACTGCCAAAACATAGTGAACGTGCAAGAGAAAAATATTCATAAAGAAAATCTTTAAAGCAGTTCAAAAACCATGAGTTGCACTGAAGAGGAAGAAAAGTAGATTCTCGTGAGCCTCTGCCTGATAGGCTGCAGAAACCAGGGCCTGGTGGCTTTAAAGTACCAAAGAGCCTGGCTGGAAAGATGGCTCGGTGGGTAAAAGCGCTTGCCACCAACTCTGAGAACCCCAGTTAGGTCCACAGGACCACATGGTGGAAGGAGAGGCCCAACTCCCATGGACTGTCCTCTGACCTTCACACACATGCTAGAGTCTGTGTACACACACACAGTCTTCCTTAGGCTTCCCATTGCTGTGAAGGGACTCCATGAACACTGCCACTCTTACGAAGGAAAACATTTAATCAGCACTGGCTTACAGTTTCAGAGGTTTAGACCACTATGGTCCTGGCGGGAATCATGGTGTAATGCGGGCAGTCATGATGCTTGAGACGTGGCGGAGAATTCTGCGTCTGGATTAGCAGGCAGCAGGAAGAGAGAGAGGGCCACTAAGCCTGGCTTGAGCTTCTGAAAACCCACAGCCTGGCCCAGAGACACGCTTTTTCCCACAAGGCCACACCTCCTAATAGTGCCACTCCCTATGGACCTAGGGGGGCCATTTTCATCAAACCACCACATACACCCACACACCTACACACCCACACCTGCTCAAAATATTATACAAAAGGAAGGTGGATGTTTTTCAACCATATGTTTATTGTTTATTCAGAAAGAGGCACTTAGGTAATGCTTAACGAATTAGAAAGCATATTCTGAAAAGCAAATGTTTCACAAGCAAAAGTTTTAGAAATCATCTTTAAAATTTGTAATTAAAAAAAAAAGTCTAGAGTAGATGACGTTGTGGGTAAGGCAGAGCACAGCTGAAACTGGACCCAGAAAAATCTTAATTGAGGGCCCCTGGTGTCTGAGGAGAGGAAGGGGTTATATTGTAAAGAGAACAGGCAACATTTTCAATACCACAGACGCCGTCAGCGTCGGTGAAATGGACTGTCTCTGGCAGACTAAAGCTGAGAGATCTACCACCCAC